ACATTACAGCAAGGGGTTACTCAGCAAGTCAAGGAAGAGTGAGGCAATTGTTAAGAGTAAAGAAATAGAAGGTCAAGACATTAAAGCAGAGCTCCACCCAAAAGGGAACGTTCCGCTTTAATGCTTTGTTTAATGCTCCCCATTAACGATTGGCACCTTTGGGGACAGATGAGGGAGCAGGTGCCCGAATTTGACAGGTACCCCTTCTCACGTCCGGTGTGATCGCCTAAGGCAGGGGTCTCCAAACTTTCTAAACAAATGGCCATTTTACTGTCTTTCAGACCTTAGGGGGGCCGGACTATGGCCATTGGGAGTAGAATTTGTCCTGTGTCATTGGGAGTAAATAATGCATCTTTGGCATTAGGGGAGGAATAACACCCTATTCTTGGTGTAAGTTGAAGAAATAGTGCCCAGTTGTTGGTGTCAGTGGGAAGAATAATGCCCCATGGTTTGTTTCAGTGAGGGATAGTGACTGTTGTTGATGTCAGTAGCAGGAATTATGCCCCCTTGTTGGTGTCAGTGGGAGGAATAGTGTCTTGTATCAGTAGGAGAAAAAGTGCCCCAAGGGCTGGATAAGGGCAAGCAAAGGGCCGCATCTGGCCCCCCCGCTGTAGTTTGGAGACCACTGGCCTAAGGTGATCGGAAACGGAAGTTGTCCTCCCCCCTCCCTCCCTGTAGTCTTCTGGGACACGTATTAGGTTCCAGAAAACTACGGGACCATTCACAAAGCGCAGCACTACTCACGCATGCGCAGTGGGCACCCGGCTGTAAAGCTGCAAGCTGTCACAGCCGCAGCTACAGTTTTTGTAGCTGCTGACTTTTATTTTTTTTTTTATTCAACTGAAACTGTGCTTTAAACATTTGGTCCTAGCTGTGGTACCTGGTAAGGTGGCAGGTTCTCCAGTAGCAAGGGGATCACTTGCTTCCTTCTTAAGTAGTCTGTCTGCCATAGCAACCCGGGAACAGACCAGTGTCTTGGAGATCCATGACTTGGCCACAAGGTACAGGAGGTGAAGGAGTTAACAGTGAGCATGCATGAGGTCTTCACTATGTGCTTGGCAGGACCCCATTGTGTTACTGGGAGTGAGGTAACAGAGGCAAGCTAGACTGGTGGAATGGGCTCAGCTTGTCCCTCCTAATGCTACAACTATGGAAGACGCAGTGTGTAGTGACATGGGACATCATCTTCTTAGAGGAATTCGGAGTTTTCCTGCATGCGGTGTAAGCTCATATCTAGGTCCAGGAACTGCCTGAATGTTAGAATTGTCACATGACAATATGTACCAGCCTATCTGCTTCTGCTTTGTCACACAGTAACAGTTTGCACACAGAAAATGATGGCAACTTTTTTTAATTAATTTTTTTTATTATAATTTTTTTATGTACATAAAATTGAACATCACTACCTTAACAATACAGTCAATTGTTGATTTGCTGCAAATAATCCTTGGTCTATATACAAGCTCTCAAGAAGTCCCTATAAACATCAGACAATGTAAAAAGTTTGGGATTTTAACAAACAAATGCAGCATAACAGAAACAAAACCTATTTTACACAGTGATGGGAATGATATGACAAGTCTTTGGATTATTTAACCCTTTCTCCTCTTCTGATCTTTAGTGGTGACAAGTAAAAATCCTTTAAAAGAAAATGAATTAAAAACTTCCCGCATTTAATAATATTTAGTAGCAGCAACCAGCTGGACCGGCCAGCCGTAAAACGAATGAAAAACATTGACCAAACAGCCGCAGGGGATTCCTCACATCTCTTTAAACCTATAAACAGATAATGATGATAAGATTTTCAATTCATAAAAAAATTAATTGGTTTGATTTTTTTTTATCTCATGCAAAGCTATAAATTGATCCAAAAATTTACAAAATAAAAAATAAATCACTGCATGAAAATCAGTGGCTACCCACCACCAGGTTGTAAGCACAGAAATCACAGAATTTTTATTACTGGTCATTGATTGGAAAAAATTGTGAAATGTTTATGCATGCATTAAGATATTGATTCATAACTGAGAAGAAACTGTGTTTAAAGCCAAATTTACATTTTTAGTTTAAATCAGCTAAATGCATTCAATGTGCATCAAAACAAAAAAGGCGCAAAAAGTTTTATAGTTGCTATTCTTTAGAAGCCACAACTTGAGTAGAAAAGCCGGTCTCTTGCCAGCATGCTGTAAAGAAGAACCCTTGCTCTTTGGGTGGAAGCAATGATCCCTGAACTGGTCCCACACATCCCTGATGAATCAGTGCTCCCAGTAAACAACAAGAATACGCTTTACTGACTGGAGAATTGCTTCCAAATTCCACACAGGGAGCAAGAGTTTATCTCTAGCATGTTGGCAGAGAACAAACTTTTCTACTCACACTATGGCTGCTTTAGAAAGAAAACAAATTGTTAGGCTTTGCGGACCATTTGGTTTAATGCTCCTGGAATCCATTTAGTAGATTTTAACCAAACAGTTCTGTTTTAGCTTCTGAAATAAATTGTAGCCGCATTGAAATATTAAATTTTGGCCCCAGGCACTTTAAATGATAAAGTGACAATGCTGTCATCATGGTCACCTGACCTGACCCATTGAGAACTACAACTAGATGTACCAACACAGACCTCCCCTCCCCTCCAAAAAAAAAAGAAAAAAAAAAGTCAGCTTGAACAGTTGTGTGCTCTGACAAAAGGGCCGTGATAATAATCATAATAATAATAAAAAAAAAAAAAAAAAAAAGCAAACAATATAATATGAACTTTGATAAGTAGGGCGGGATCCTGAATAAATGATTGGAATGTTTCATACACAAGTTTTTAATTTTTTTTCTTTTTTACGAAACATGCAGCTGTGTGTGGTCGTCCCTAGTGTACAACATTCTTTACATAAATTATGTAACCCAATTATCAAAATAAAAAAAACAATTAACATCTGAAAAACCCACCCTTGATGGCCTCGGAATCATTAGTGTCTAATCAAGAGCGACATTCAAAGATTATTATAGGAGAGATGAGTCTTAACAGATGCAATACTTGTTATGTTTTGTTAAATCGGTTAGTTGTTAAACTGGATTAGATCAGTGAAAATATATTCATGCCCCTATTTTAACCATGTCCAAGACAACAAGAATTACTTCTAGGTGGAAGAACTGGAGGAAATTTTTACAGAAACAAGGTAATTTGTTTTTAGCTGTCCTAGGAAAGTGAACAGCAATTTATATATTTGGTGACTGAGGTTGGTAGACATTGCCACTTGTCCAGCGACACCCAGCCCATTACAGCAGAAACTGCATGTATTCAGATTCTTTAGTGCAACTCTGCTGCCCCCTACTGATAGAATAAAAGAATACAGTACATTCACTGTACATTCTGTGATGCAATCTACAGTATACAGGAGGTAATATTACAAGAACATTGCTATAATAGGGGCATCATTTGTTCTTTTTCAAAGTGTGGTTAATCACAGCTAGTTTTGTTATATGTTTAAGGTGGTTAATGGGGTTATTACTTGTGGTTTTTCATAAAAGTATGGTGATTATTACTTTAAACACATTTATTGGCTTTGCATTTTAATATATAGAACTGCAGTATGTAGTAAGGGTGGCACCTCCATGTAAAAGTTTTGCATCTGAGTTCAGACTTGGCAGAAAATTGCAGCAATATTGCGGATTGCAGCACCAAGGGCCCCGGACATAGCTCATACTTACGATGTACATTTAACTACTCATATGATCCAGGAATATTGTGCTTTAATGTCAAACTATCACTATAAAAACACAGGAAGAACTTGTTTGATATTTTCTGATTATGACCAGTAAAAGGATAATACAGATCTAAAGCTAAACTCTAGGAAAATACACTGATTGTGTGTGTATATGTATGTATGTATGTATGTATATATATATGTATATATATATATATATATATATATATATATATGTCAGTTTCACTAAATGATTTGTAATTTTGTCCATCTAGTTTAGACCTACCCAGCACAACCCTGTCTGGCAGGGCAGGAGACTTAAGCCCAAGGGCGGACTGACCATTCGAGCACTCGGGCACTGCCCGAGGGCCCGGGGTCAGTAGGGGGCCCCATGAGATGCCCCTGGTACCTTTCATTGGCCGTTTCATAGGCTTTTTTGGGTGTGGACAAGGACACAGGGGCCCCATGATCCCCTATTGCCCGGGGGCCCCATGGTGAGTTGTCAGTCCGCCCCTGCTTAAGCCTCATTCATACTATGTGCAGAGACATGAGATTTTCTGCACCTGTTTCTGCAAGGGCACAACAGAGCAGGGCACCTGTTCACACCACAACACAGGTATCGCACAGATAGTTTTCTGCGTGGAAGTAAACTGACGTGACATCAACATTGTGGTGTGAACAGGGCGCATAGAGAACAATTTGTGCCCTTGCAGAGAATTTATGTTACATATCTCTGCCCAGAAAAAAATCTGGTGTGACCAGAACACATAAAAAACTTTTTTTTTTTCTTTGTGTCCTTGCAGAACTATGTAATAAGTATGTGTCTCTCTGCACATGGTGTGAGCACTATGCAAGTCAAATCTGCGTGTGTTTTCCATCAGTTTGAATAGTATGAAGGAGGCCTTACAGTGCTGTCCCTCTCCAGCTTGTGTGATTGGACAGGGAGAAGAATGGCAGCAGACTGATTAACCCGTCACTCTGCTCGCTCCTCCTATGAGCATGTTTCTTGTACTGCAGTACACCTGATTGGCTCCTTGTGCTGCTTCTCTCTCCCCCTCTCTGAGTTCTACTGTACAGGAACTGCTAGAGGCTGACACCAATTCAAATTGAGGTACTAACATGTCTTGCATTGAAAAGTCCCATTTAATTACATGATACTGAATGCATAGCTGCATACAGTATGTCTGCCTGAAGTTCAGTTTCCAGAACACAAAATGTTTTTAAAATCAGTAGGACTTATGACCAGTCTTAACATCTCAATATAACACCTAAAACTATTAGCAAAGTTACACACACACAAAAATGCACATATGTGTGTACAGGCAATCCCTGAGTTACAAACATCTGACTTACATAAGACTCATGCTTAAAGTGTTACTAAACCCCAGACCCTGCATTCACTATATCTGGTCTCCCCGGACCCTGCATTCACTATATCTGGTCTCCCCGGACCCTGCATTCACTATATCTGGTCTCCCCGGACCCTGCATTCACTATGTCTGGTCTCCCAGGACCCTGCATTCACTATATCTGGTCTCCCCGGACCCTGCATTCACTATATCTGGTCTCCCCGGACCCTGCATTCACTATATATCTGGTCTCCCCGGACCCTGCATTCACTATATCTGGTCTCCCCGGACCCTGCATTCATTATATCCGGGTCTCTCTGGACCCTGCATTCACTATATCTGGTCTCCCCAGACCATGCATTCACTATATCTGGTCCCCCCCGGACCCTGCATTCACTATAACTGGTCTCCCCGGACCCTGCATTCACTATATCTGGTCTCCCACAGTACACACAACATGGAAATGCAATTATTTTAGTAAATATAAACTGCTAAATACCTTGTCTCATCAGCAGTTAGAGCAGTCTTGTGACTTTTATAAGTGTTCAGCAGAGCACTGGTTAAAGCTTGTAGGAGGAGCTTTCTTTCTGCTCTAGGAGGATGCAGGACCCCTGACCTTTGTCTGGACAATGCTGATTGGCCCTGTGCTCATCACATGCACTCTCCCAAGAAAAAAAAAAAAAAAAACCTCTCTAGCAATACACATCAAACTGAACATGCGCAGAGCGACTCCACACACTATGTCTTATCAGGAGATAAGTGGGGGCCAGCGAAAGAAGGGGAGGATCAGAGAAGTCAGGATCAAACAGCATTTTTACAAAATGCAGAGGATTAACCCCTTAGATTCCACAGTGAGTATAACAAGCATGCATTACTGCATATACAGACTGATTTTATGGTTGTGGGTTTAGTAACCCTTTAAGAGTGGAGGCAGCATGACCATCAGGAAACCATCAGGCAGCTATCTTGCTACTCATCGCATGCTGCCACCTACTGTCTGATGGACCTGTCAGCAATCCCAGATCACTTCATGGCCAGTTAACCCTTCCCTATGCTGTCCAAAACGTGCAAATTACTTTTTTGGCTGCAGTTACACTTAAAAATGTACCTGTTCCAACTTACATACAAATTCAACTTAAGAACTAACCTATAGAATCTATCTTGTTTGTAACCCGGAAACTGCCTGTATATAGAATTTATTTTTACACACACTACTGTAAATTACACAAGATATATAGCCAGTCCCAATTTCTACATCCTACATAAGTAGACAAATACAATATGTTTCTAAGCACTGAATATGGTGCTTTAAGATTGTATAGAGGACATGTAATGCGCCATACGGATAAAAGACTCCACTGATAAAATACCTGATACCTAATATCGCAATACCGTCACAAAGCCAATGACATTAAAGGGTCATCCCTCCTAAAATACACAGCTCAGTCTCTGGTTGATGTTGGAGCATTAAACTATCTAACAATGTATTAAATACTATACAGCCAAAAGTTATAGACACCTCACTGTCACACCTACATGAGCTTGTTGGGACAAACTATTTCAAAACTATGGGCATTATATTTAGAGTTCCCACCCGCCCTTTGTGGCTACAGAAGCATCCTCTTCAAAGAAGACTTTCAACAAGACTTTGTGGTATGTCTGGGGGAATTTGTGCCCATTTGTGAGGTTAGTTACTGACGTTGGATGAGAAGACCTGGCTCACATTCCAATTCATCCCAAAGGTGTTCAGTAGGGTTGAGGGTCAGGGCTCTGTGCAGGTCACGCAATTTCCTCCAAAATCAACTCATCAAACCATGTACGGAGCTGGCTTTGTACACAGTCACAGTAATGGAGAAACAGTAAAGGGCCTTCCCCAAATTGTTACCACAAGGTTAGAAGAGCACCATTGTATCAAATGTCCTTGATGCATTATTAATAAAACCCTTCACTGGAAACACCTCAACTCCATCATTTGGAGGGGGGGGTCCACATATTTTGTGAATTTCTCTGGGACCCTCGTCGTGAGCTATCAGAGTTCTGGGGTCCGCATACCAGCTGTAGACATTATGAAGGGCACTCACTCTTCCTGATGGATATTACATTTCTTTTATACTATGGAGAATGCTACAAAAACAGAGTTAGAACGCCATAGTAATTGGGAATGGAGCCAGATGGGACTAAATGCTACTGGAGACATCAGATGCCAGCTGATCCCACCCAACTCAACCTATGATTGGACTAACATCTAGGAAAGTGGACCTTTAAGCCACTACTAGGTTTGTTGTGTTGTATATATTTTAAGGTAAAGGACTACACATAAACAATTTTTCTAATCTAATTTTACCCATATGGAAGAAAAATATATTTGAAATGCTACAATTTTGACCATATTCAATATATATATATATATATATCTATATAAACACACACATACATATATACACATATATACATACACTGCATGTTGAAATGCAATTTGACATATAAATACACACACACACACACACACTGCATGCTGAAATGCGTTTTTATTAAATATATGAAAAATAATTTTAAAAATACATTGCAAATATACAGTATGTCTTTAAAAATACAAATCTACATTTTTGTAATACACTTACAAACATATGCAAAAATATATGTTAAAATTACTTTTTTATATGTTGAAAAAAAAATCTGATGAATATATTTTAAAAAAAATCTTTTTAAAAAGATATTTTTTTTAAATATATTCTTCAGATTTTTTTTTTCTTTTTAAAAAAGTCATTTTAACATATATTGTTACATATATTTGTAAATGCATTCCAAAAATGTAGATTTGTATTTTTAAAGACATACAGTATATTTGCAATGTATTTTTAAAAATCTTTTTCATATAATTTGTAATAAAAACGCATTTCAACATGCAGTGTGTGTGTGTGTGTATATATTTATATATATGTGTGTGTGTGTGTATGTATGCAATGTATGTATATATGTGTGTGTATATGTATATATGTGTGTGTATATATATATATATATATATGTATATATGTGTGTATATATATATATATATATATATATATGTATATGTGTGTGTATATGTATATATGTGTGTGTATATATGTATATATGTGTGTGTATATATATATATGTATGTGTATATGTATATATGTGCATGTATATATATATATATATGTGTGTGTGTGTATATCTATCTATCTATCTATACACTATATACACACACACACTGCATATTGAAATGCGTTTTTTATTACAAAATATATGAAAAATTTATTTATATATATATATCTATCTGTATATCTATCTATCTATCTATCTATCTATCTATCTATATATATATTGAATATGGCCAAAATTGTAGCATTTCAAATATATGGCAATATATTTGGAAATAATATTTTTAAAATATATTTTTCTTTAATGTGGCTTGATATGTTGAAGCAGAGTTTTCTTCCCATTATCCTGGGATGGTTCTCCTGTGCTTGCTCTATAGCATTCCGCTCTATACACAGCAGCTTTTTGTTAAATCTCAGGTCGATGGATATAAACATTGCTACTGGAAGACAGAAAGACATGGCTGGAAAACAAAATGAAGCTAAGAAATAAAAATAAAAGATGTTGTCTTACCCCCTGTTCTTGCTGAAACATCGACAGAGCTGTTTAATTTCTTTGTACACCAGACGTGCCAGAAACTTGAAGGATACAAGAAGTCAGCTTTTATTAACATTTATTAACACCACTCGCTGTAATGTAATAATGACAAAACTGATTGACATTTCAGGGCAGCACAGGCAGAGTTGTCAGCTCACTACAGGAAGTTAGAAATAGATTGGATTTCTGGCAGATCCACAGGTAATCCTCTGTACTTGCATCATTTGTAAAATGACAAACCATGGGGAAATGTGCCCCTATTGTAGAGAAGCACTGAAGATATACGTAGTTGTTTTCTTTTGCCCAGCCATATGCTTCAATTACAAATTTTGTAGTATGTTTACATTAGGTCTTCTTTGCTGTTTGGTCTGAGGGCAGGGAATGGGTCTTATGTGCATATAATGAATTGGTAGATATCATAATATGCTGATAGACTTCAAATCCCTAAAACAATCAATCAATCAATCAATCATTATACCCGTTTCTGATGCTGGTTTGGAATCTCCAGCATCATGCAGGATTGCAAGATATTATTTCCAAAATCCTACCCTTTGTCTTATAGGCTCAACAAACCAGGTCTTACTAACACATATACCACAAAGAAGCCACCAACCACTTAAAGAATAAGTTCCCGTTTGAGAACATGTTACATGTTCCATCGTAGCAGCCACTGCCCAATCCCGGCCGTGGTAGAAGATCCTCGTACTAACTGTCACTTTTTGAAAACAGCTTGGCCGCGCGCAGGCTCCACCCACATGGACATGTCATTCATTCACAGAGTTCTGTGAATGAATAAACTAAAAGTCCTGACAGCCTTTTGTGGCTGTCGGCTTGCAGTTTTCAATGAACTACCATGGCGCCGTGGAGTGCTGTGGTAGTTCATTGAGTCTTCCTGTCAGACTGTATCTGCTTGCCCGCACAGAATGTACAGGCACACAGATACACTGACAGTTTGCAGGAGTCCTGCATGGCACCAGTGATCTGCTGATCGCTGGTGCAATGTTTTCCAGGCTCAAAACAAAAAAAAAAAGTAAAGTAAATGCACATTTTCTAACCTGCAAAAAATGGCCATTATTTTTTTTTTCAAAGTGAGCTTATCCTTTAACATATAAATTTTTATTGTACACAAGCCACACAATAATATTTACATTTTACCGTTTTTTTAATAAACCATATACCGTGGTTTTTATTATATGGCTTGTGTACAATTAAAAGGATATGTTAAGTGGGAGAGGGAGAGGGGTTCTTTGTGGTATATATTGGGTATGACCTGGTTTATTGATTCTATAAGATGGGGGTAGAATGTTGGGAATAACATACAATGAACTGCTGATCCCATCTACATTGACAGTTATACCAGAAGTCAAGTTAAGAGACAAATCTCACCAAACAAGCCAAGAGGTCGGCAGCAATCAGCATGTAGAAGACATAGTTCCAGCTTTTGGTGGAAAGGAGAGAGGCAAACAGGGGTCCCAGAGCAGCACCTAAGCAACACACAATTAAAAGCCATATCAAACTCATATACTAAACAGGGAAACAATTAAGGTTCCAATGTCTTCAATATAGAGACAATTCCATCCATAGTGTCAGGGTGGTGGCTGGATAATCCATGATCCTTTATCTACATTCAAGACTTGCAGCTCCATAACTACTCTTGGCCACCTCAAGTTTACAGAAAGTTGTCCAAGGTGAATTCCAATTTTTTCTGTATGAAGTCTCAAAATACCCCTAAATGTAAAAGGGAGGGAGGGCACATTTGAGCCCCAATGTATGATATCTACATGAGCTCCTGAGCTTCAGTCCCATTCTCACTGCTCCAGACTCAACATCCCCAGCCCCCATTCTAACCTTACAATTAACACGCCCTCTGTGTTACCTCCTGTACCTAAATCTCTAACACTTGAAACCCTCATTCGCAACCACACCACCAGTTCTTTAACCTCCCCAATTCTTAACACATCCTACCTTTCATAGAATGTTCCTTCTCCTCCAGTAGAAGCTATTTAGCTTCATTCTTGATCAAGGTTATGGTGAGGGACAGGGCATATGAGGGGCAGGTCAGATCAATACAACTGAGAAGGCCCTATGGGTCCCCTAGGAGAAGAAGCCTGGTGGAAGCCACAACTTTTATTGCCTCCTTTCCCAACTATGTAAATAGTCTTGCATTGTACAAATCTCCCTTTTTTATTTCAGTTAATCCTGTACATGTTACAAAAGAAGCTTTATTCTTCCTATAAAAGGTGAATGTGACCACCCCACTAACCTATAGATCCAGAACCATCAATGATAGCGGTGACTGTGGACAGGGCCTTAGCATTTCCATGTAGAGACTCGTGTGTGCCCTGCAAAATAAAAATGTGCATAAAGCCTTTAAAGCAGAATTCCACTTTGGATTGTTTACATTTACTTTTGTTACAGAGGGAGTCCTGACCTCTTTTTCTGTGCATTTCAGCTCCATGTTTAGTATCTTTGCAGAACTTTGTGTGCTCTCCTCTAGCAATAGTTCTGCGGGGTCTTCTGGCTGCATGATATTGAGGCTCAGAACTTTTTGTTGCGGTCAGCTGTCCTTCTAATACCCCCTGTAGTTCTCAGTAGTACTACAGGGGTGACATGCAGGGGCTACAGCCAGCAGTCTTTACCAGCACAGTGGTTATGCCCAGAGCAGCATTAACCACGCAGACTTCAAGGACATGTAGTCATTGTGTCACAGCTGCTTCCTGCCCACTGCTAACAGGTACATAATGGGACTGCGGTTGTCCCATGACTGTTACACATTACATTCCTAAGAAAAAATTCTCTTGCTAGAAATCTAAGTTTAAATAAAGAATGTACATTATCTAGGGCAGTTGTCGCCAAACTGTGGCCCTTTGCATGCCTTTATCTGGCCCTTGGATCACCAGTCCCCCTACCGACACCATCAATGGGGCTTATTCTTCCCACTGATACCATTAAAGCCAATGATGAGGCACTGATGCTGGGACACTTTCTACTCCAACTACTGTACATAGTAATAAAGCAAAATAAATGTCATCCAGGTAGGTCTGGGGTCACCAACCTGTAGCCCAGGGGCTGGATGTGGCATTTTGCTTGCTTTTATCTGGCCCTTGGGGCACCATTCACTCTACTAACACTATCAATGGGGCACTATTCTTCCCTTTGATACCAAAAATGGGGCACTATTCCTACCATTAAATCCAATGATGAGGCACTGATGCCGGGACATTTTTTACTCCCACTACATAGTAATATAGCACAATAAATGTCATCCAGGTAGGTCTGGGGTCACCAACCTGCAGCCCAGGGACTGAATGTGGCTCTTTGCTTGCTTGTATCTGGCCCTTGGGGCACCAATGACCCTACCGACACCATCAATGGGGCATTATTCTTCCCACTGATACCAAAAATGGGGCACTATCCCTACCATTAAATCCAATGATGACGCACTGATGCCGGGACATTTTTTACTCCCACTACATAGTAATACAGCAAAATAAATGTCATCTAGGTAGGTCTGGGGTCACCAACCTGCAGCCCAGGGGCTGGATGTGGCTCTTTGCTTGCTTTTATCTGGCCTTGGGGCACCATTCACCCTACTGACACTATCAATGGGGCACTATTCTTCCCTTTGATACCAAAAATGGGGCACTATTCCTCCCATTAAAACCAATGATGAGGTGCTGATGCCGGGGCATTTTCTACTCCCACTGGCCACAGTCTGGCCCCTCAAAGCCTGATGGACAATAAACTGGCCCTTTGCTTAGAAAGTTTGAAGACCCCTGGTCTAGGGGAAGGGAAGGGACTGCTGAAAATAATTACTTAACACCTGGAGTTCTTCTTTAGTCATATTATGGACAAGCAAAACTGCTCTACATTTATTGTTATCTTTAGCATCGCATTTCATAAACTCTAAAACACAACATATTATTTCCATTACAAGGTTTACATGAAGCAAAACAGTACAAAACGTATTAAAATAAGAATTAAGTAACACATTCAGATTTAAAAAAATAAATCATATTGCTGTCATTTCAGAGCTTGCTGAGATACACCAGTCAGGTCCAGTATATAAAAACACTGTTTGGGTATTTATTCAAGCTCTGAAAATGTATTTGATTAACTCATGCAGTTGCGGAAGTGTGTGTTTTTTTTTTTTTTGCACACAACAAGTGAAAGTTGAAATGACGCTTGTAGTGGGTTAGGCTGCTCAGTAAAATGATGGATGGAAGCAAGGAGGGTAACATTAAATTAAAGGCAGAGGGATCCTGGGGGCTGCCATTGGTGCGGTGATCAGGATTCCATCCAGCAGATAGGAGCCGGGGCTGTGTCTTCAGGCTTCTGGTTGAAGTTAACCTTTAAATCAGCTCCCTATTGACATCTAGCAATACAGTGCTGCTGATCATTTTTTGGTTTCGCTTTTTGTTGAATGAACTTCCCTCCTGTGTACAATTTTGCTGCAATTGGCACTAGGAACCAAAAAATGCTAGAAAAGGACAACACAGACAGTTCTTTTGGCGGACATATCCAACACCAGGACCAATAGGAGGTGTTTCTGTTACAAGGGTGGAGCACTTGGGCCTTACCACTATTCTGTTATTCATAAAACACAAACTCATGAGGCTTGGGACAACTGTAACAATGTCCCCATTATAAAGCCTCTTCACACAACTGGTTAGTGGATCAGCGGGACATCTTACCAGATCAGCAGATACAGCGGTTGTGATGAGAGAGTACGGCCCATTCACCAACACCCCACAGATAATCAACATGGCTGCAGAGAGGAGATATGACCAATGATACAATGTAACAAGGAACAGAGAGGAGATATGACCAATGATACAATGTAACAAGGAACAGAGAGGAGATATGACCAATGATACAATGTAACAAGGAACAGAGAGGAGATATGACCAATGATACAATGTAACAAGGAACAGAGAGGAGGTATAATCAATGATACAATGCAACAAGGAAGAGAGAGGGGGAAGAACAATGATACAATGTAACAAGAAACAGAGGGAAGATATAACCAATGATACAATGTAACAAGGAACAAAGAGGTGATATGACTATTGATACAATGTAACAAGGAACAGAACAAGATATAACCAATGATACAATGTAACAAGGAACAGAGAGAAGATACAACCAATGATACAATGTAACAAGGAACAGGAGAAGATATAACCAATGATACAATGTAACAAGGAACAGGGAGAAGATATAACAGGGAGAAGATATAACCAATGATACAATGTAACATGAAACAGGGAGAAGATATAACCAATGACACAATGTAACAAGGAACAGGGAGAAGATATAACCAATGATATAATGTAACAAGGAACAGAATGAAGATATCACCAATGATACCATGTAACAAGGAACAGAACAAGATATAACCAATGATACAATGTAACAAGGAATAGAATGAAGATATCACCAATGATACAATGGAACATGGAACAGGGAGAAGATATAACCAATGATACAATATAACATGGAACAGGGAGAAGATATAACCAATGATACAATGTAACAAGGAACTAGGAGAAGATATGACTATTGATACAATGTAACAAGGAACAGGGAGAAGATATAACCAATGATATAATGTAACAAGGAACAGGGAGAAGATATGACTATTGATACAATGTAACAAGGAACAGGGAGAAGATATAACCAATGATATAATGTAACAAGGAACAGGGAGAAGATATGACTATTGATACAATGTAACAAGGAACAGAGAGGGGAAAAGACCAATGATACAATGTAACGAGGAACAGAGAGAAGATATGACTATTGATACAATGTAACAAGGAACAGAGAGGGGAAAAGACCAATGATACAATGTAACGAGGAACAGAGAGAAGATATGACTATTGATACAATGTAACAAGGAACAGAACGAAGATATAACCAATGAAGCCATGTAAAAAGGAACAGAACGAAGCTATCACCAATGATACCATGTAACAAGGAACAGAACAAGATATAACCAATGATAAAATGTAACATGGAACAGGGAGAAGATATAACCAATGATACAATGTAACAAGGAACAGAGAGAAGATATAACCAATGATACAATGTAACAAGAAATAGAGAAGATATATGACCAATGATACAATGTAACAAGGAACAGAACGAAGATATAACCAATAATACAATGTAACAAGGAACAGAGAGAAGATACGACAAAATGATACAAAGTAACAAGAAACAGAGAAGATACAACCAATGATACAAAGTAATAAGGAACAGAGAAGAGAGGACATTGTAGGACTGACACAAAGGAGACAGTGACTCACCGATTGTGGTGGAAATGTCAGTCTGGCCATACTGGTTATAAATGAACAACTGGAAGAGCAGAAGAGGAGAGAGGGATTACCAGACATTATGCTGAACATGATAAATCCAAGATTTATTCAAAACTCAATTATCTTTGTAAACTTATATTGCTTGAGGTGATTGTAGCCGTATTAGTGCACTTGTGACAGAAACAATTGAGTGCTGTCCGTGATACATTTTTATTTGCACTAACGTACACTTTACAGGACAAGCTTTCGGGGTATATCCCCTTCTTCAAGGTCCAAGCAGTACTCCTTGGATCTTGAAGAAGGGGAAATACCCCAAAAGCTTGTCCTGAAAATTGTGTTAGTGCAAATTAAAAAAAATGTATCACGGACAGTACCCAATTGTAAACTTAGATTATTTTGATAGAAAAACCGCTTTAAGATTTCTGGTTCTCAAGTTAAAAAAAAAAAAAAAAAAAAATTGTATTTATATATATATATATATATATATATATATATATATATATAATTTTTTTTTTTAAATTGATAACCAGAAATCTTAAAGCGGTTTTTCTATCAAAATAATCAATCTAAGTTTACAATTGGTTATTGTCCGTGATACATTTTTTTTTAATTGCGCTAACATACAATTTTCAGGACAATATATATATATATATATGTCCTCAAAGATGACCATGCATGTTGCAATCGGATTGTATAATCCCTATTTAATCTCCTTTATTTCTCTCAAAAATATATGTTAGGGATCAATCTAAATCATCTACTCAGTTGCTCAGGCCTTTGAATTTTGTTGGTGGATCTAACGAAGATTGTTCAATCTAATAGAAATGTTCATTGTTATTGCAATCTGACTGTATAATCACGTTTGGTCTGTTAAATATACAGTTGAAAGTGTTTTATTATATCTACTCAATGTGTGCAAAACATGACCTTATGCCAGGTATCCATGTACACCTTGGGCTGTGTTGCACTCCAGTTACATTTTAACAGTTATCTCTGAGGACTACAGAAGCCCCCCCCCAATGAGATGAGGTGAGAGGGAGGGTTTCTGTGGTCTTGCTCTAAGGATTCATTGCTGCTTCTCATACATTTTATACAGTGAGTGAACAATGTCACCCTAGGACAGGTTGTGTGTTACTGGCAGGATTATCATGTAAACATAAAGAAGGGAAAATGCATGGAATTGAAGTTCTTGAGTTTACTAACACTTGCAACAAGTTTCATTTCTTTTTTACCTCCAGCTTTCCATTCAGTCTTGTACAGTTGTACCGGCTCCTCTCCTGCACTGAAATTGCTTACTCTGATTTCACTGAACACTGTGAGCTTCTCCCAATGTACATTAGAAGCTGCATCAAGTATAATACAGCCTGCCTCATTTTCTGGTTGGAGGATATCCAGCATTATCTAGCCCTTTTCTCCCCAGCCTCACATTCCCAGGCCCACCCATTTCATTGAATTTCAGTTCCTTCAATCATTAAGGCTCTGCATTATACATGGACATTATCTAAAGTGGCCTGCATGCAAATACAGCCTGTCTGGGAACATCCACTACTTTAGACTGATATCCACCCATCAAGGTATTTTAATATTTGCACAACTCCTCCCAAGAATTAACCCACTAATTGCATCAGGGCTGAGAACACTTGAGAGGAGTACTGAGGCATAGTGCAGTTATATTTTCAGGACGCTATGTACAGCACCCTGCCAGCTCCTTCCACCCACTGTCATCTGCCCGAATTCCATGAAAAAGCTCAGAGACCCAATGACGATATCATTGGGTCGAGAATATGGTAGGTAACAATTACATCAGCATGTTGATGAAGAAGGAAGACAAGCAGATTAAACTTCAACTTTATATGATTATTGGGCAGATATTGCACACTTTAACAATATTTTCAGTGTGAACACAGAAAACTCTCTTATTATGTAATGATTGAACAAACTGAACACTGTACCACAATCATAATTCAATAAATACAGAAGGGAAAAAAAGAAGAAATTATATAGATAATAGAGGATGTCATCTATGTGGAGGAGTGAGCGGGGACTCGGCCCCACAAATTACTGTGATCAATGAACTCACCATCGGGGCGGTAAATATCAGCATGACAGCGCAGGTGATGGCTCGTCCCCCAGTGTAATCAGATATTGCTCCGGCAACAATCCCACCTAGAATACAATTTATACATTGATTAAAACATGACAATAATCTGGTGGTCTGTTATTTCAATAGTCAAGTACACTAAACAAAACTGATATGATATATGAGCAATGAAAAATTGTCAGCCATTCCTCAGCAACCTCAAAAATGTATTGGACTCCATGGATATTGCAATACTTTCCTGGAGACTTTGATGGACCATCTAATACCCATCCGGACACAAGGATGCGGTACTTAGCATGGTGGTGCCTGTCTTTTTCCAGATTCACTCCCCCAAAAACCTCTTTCCTACCCCATCACTAAACCCTCTATCCTCCACCAGCTTCCTCTTACTAACCTCTGTCTCCCTCTTTTCTTCATCTACTTCTTCTAGTTAGGAATGTTTCTGGTTCTGGGCAAGAAGGGTTTCCTGGTGCAGGACTCCTTCCCCAATTGGCCCAAATCCTCTACCAAAGTACGGCCAAGCAGATGCCCCCATACTTTGCTAGGTAGTATCAAGGGTGGACTGACAACTCATGGGGCCCCCGGGCAATAGGGGATCATGGGGCCCCTGTGTCCTTGCCCACACTCAAACAACACCCAAAAAAGCCTATGAAAGGTACCAGGGGCATCTCATGGGGCCCACTACTGACCCCGGGCAGTGCCCGAGTTCCCAAATGGTCAGTCCGCCCCTGGGTAGTATACAGTATGAACAACTAGGTACCCACCTGATCCACAACTGCTTGATAAGTATTCAATCGCATAAATTGATGGTGAACCCCTGACTAACCTTCGTATGGAGTTTCCATGTTCTCTCTGTGCCTGCATGGGGTTCATTTCCTCTGGTTTCTTTACTTTTCTCCCACTCTCCAAAGACATACTGGTAAGTTAATTGGCATATCTCTAAATTGGTCCTAGTATGTGTACAGTATGTATGAATGTAAGTTAGGGACCTTAGATTGTACGCCCCTTGAGGGTTAGGGACTGATGTGAATGTACAATATATATGTAAAGAGCTGCATAAATTGACGGCGCTATATAAGTACCTGAAATAAATAAATATGTCACCCACTCATCAACAGATTGTTTCTGACAGAGTCCCTTTAATAAACATATGGGCGATTCAACGCCCTAACCCTACAGAAGTGGAATGGGCTGCACTATATAGTCACCTGTTAGCACACACAGAGCCTAAAAATTAACTCCTATTATTTATTTTGTCTACCCTCATTTTTCTCTTCCCTTTTCTAAAGAACAATCCATAGACTCCATTCATAGTTTGAGATTTCTTATCAAAAAAACCCATATGGGTTGACCTCAAACTCAAGCATACTTTTGAGGGGTCTTTATATTTCAGTCATTGTTCTTTGTATCTCAGTTTTGTGTTTGTACCATTACATGAATGTTTTTGTTATTCCCTGAATACATTATGATAAATTTAGCTCACTTTGAAAACTACAACCTGGGCTGAGATTCGATATACCAAAAAAAACAACAACTTAATGTAGTTCAGTAGCGCAAAATATCATATAGTAAATAAAAACGATAAAACAAAATATCAAAATGTGATGTTTGATGTGAAAGTCATAAATAAAGTCCCACAAAAATCTTCAAATTCTCCAAACGATTTCACCGCATGTAAAAAATAAATGTTCCTCCTTTCGGGTGTACACTCACGAAATGAATTTGCCCCCCACTTTCATGGTTGGCCAAATCGCTTAAATAAAACAATCACCATCTCCCATACACCAAGTTGTCACTCTCTTCAGGATGCACAGGTATCATTCCATGGACTGGTTGGTAATGGATATACAGGCATAGACAATGGTCACAACCACCCTTCTTCCTCCTCTGTATATTTTGCGCTCCTGAACTACATTAAGTTGTTGGGTTTGTTTTGGCACATTGATTTATTAGAAGTGGCAGCAATGATTTGAGCACTAATTGTATTTATCGGCACGTTCATTTAAGCACAGTTTTTGTTTGTTTTTGAGATTCGATATATACCGCCAATATCTTTTCTTATGTCTGTATGTAGTCAAATGCATTAAAATAAAAATTAAAAAAAGACATCCTATTTGCTCCTGCTTGGTTTTTAAAAAAATATATCACTGATATAGTTTTGTTCTATCTGTTCATTAAGTGCTAAAAAAAAATACCTGTTGATCCTGACAGAAACCTTGTGAGCTGATAACGTACTGTGCTCGTCGCCTGTGGTGAACTCTTACCTGTTATATTTTTCCAACTATGCCTAAAGTATTACAAAACCCTCCCGTTATGGAAAAGAGGAGAGAAGGAGGTGTTGTGTAGTCCCATCCTAGAGTGACACAGCTGATCCCCCACAGAAAAAAGACAGGTGGTGAGTGTTGTCACCCCAAGACAGGAAGTATGTTATTGGAGGATCACCAGATGGAGATTAAGAAAAAAAAAAGCCTGAAAAGGGAAAAAAAACGAATGCAGCAACCTCATCTAAGAACTGGTAAGCTGCAATATGGCATGTTTTTTGTACCTGGGTTTAGAGATACTTTAATGATTGAGGTGGATTAACTATTTGGTATTTTTTTTTTTTTTTTTACTGAAACAAAGGCCTTACCTATAATGCCGCCGCATCAAACAGAGTGGACATGTCTCCAGCTTTTTTGGGATCAAAGTGAGCTAAAATACAAAGGAAACAAAAAAAATTAACAAAAAAACATTGTTTATACAGTATATTTGTGTGACTGTCACATTCATGTGCATGCTCTGTGTCATATTTCATATCATTTTATATAGATTTGTGTGCACTCCCTCTAGTGGCTGTTTGTTCATCAGAAAATGCATTCAGCACGCTTGCTGGATGCAGAGGGCAAAAGCAGTTCTAAGGCAAATCATCAAGAGGTTGCATAATTGTTTAGAAACCATCTACTGGGATTTTTACAATTTGAAACAATTTTTGTTATTTATGGCACAAAGTGTGGGCTAAAACAGTCAAAAGCAATATATATTATAAGGCAGCAAACAGTATATTTGCCTTTAGTGAATCAACCTCCCAGTGTCTCTGTCATGAGATAAGTAGGAGTTTGCCACTGATGGCTTCCTTTAAAAAAATTCTAGTTTCCTGTCTTGAGTACTTTTTTTTTTTCATATTCTTTATTTAAAGTATACAGCACTCACAGAGCAGCAAAATACAATGGAAGCACACAGATATATGAGGTAACCCTTTCAAAGGCCCCAAACCTTCAAGAGATACAGCATCAGTCATAGACAGCATAAAGTGCAAAGGTGACCTGGCTGGAACACCTAGCAGTAATATAACCAGCAGTATTTGAAATGGGATACGGGGACCTCCACTAAACTGAATCAAGCTGCATTCATGAAGGCGAAGGGCATAGCATTTTTTTTCTCAGAGAGTCAGGAAAGAGGACAGGTATGGGGTAAGGACTGGGTGGAGGAAGGCATACCAACAAAAAAAGTGAAGAGTTACTGGAGGAGGGATGGAGGGCTCCAATAAAGGGGGTGTTGTCGTACCATGCCTCAGTGTGGGCAGGATGCAGAGAGGGATTTCCCCTCTTCCAAGAAAGTAAACATATTCCAATGAACCCAAGTTTTAGAGTGAGCCTCATGTCGGTTTTGTGAGGAAAGTATTATGTCTTCCATCTTGTTCACTTCCCCTATTTTTAAAGCGGAGTTCCACTCACCCTGTCAAAAAATAAAAGTCAGCAGCTACAAAAACTGTAGCTGCTGACTTTTAAAAAACAGCCACTTACCTGTCCCTCGGTCCCGTATTGTGTCCCCCTCAGCCCGTTTCACCGCTGACCTGTATTCCAGGAGGCCGGCATCTTCAGTGTGGGCACCCGGCTGTGATAGCTTGCGGCTTCAAAGCCGGGTACCCACTGTGCATGCGCGAGTAGCTCCACGCTTCATGAATGGTCCTGTAGACTTCTGGGACCTGCCACGTGTCCCAAAAGACTGCATGGAGGGAGGGAGGAAACCTTCCGTTTCCGATCGCCTAGAGCAGTGGTGGGCAACCTTTTTTTTCAACTGAGCCAAATCTCGCCAAAACCACGATTGAAATTTATTTTGAGAGCCACATTTTTAAAAACTGAAAATACATAGGATGGTACACTGTTTTTAGTTTCAATAAGTTTTTATAGTAATTCATCCCCCATAGTAATTCATCCCCCATATAGTAATTCATCCCCCATAGTAATTCATCCCCCATATAGTAATTCATCCCCCATATAGTAATTCATCCCCCATATAGTAATTCATCCCCCATATAGTAATTCATCCCCCATAGTAATTCATCCCCCCTATAGTAATTCATCCCCCCTATAGTAATTCATCCCCCTATAGTAATTCATCCCCCATATAGTAATTCATCCCCCATAGTAATTCATCCCCCATATAGTAATTCATCCCCCATATAGTAATTCATCCCCCATATAGTAGTAGTAAGTAAGTAGCAAGTAGTAAGCCAAGTCCCCCCTGTGTCAATTCACTTACCTTTGCTCCGCGCGTTCCTCTCGCCGTGTTCCCCGCGCTGTTCCGGTCTTCAGGGCGGACTGTGAGAGGAGCCTAGCTCCCCTCACGTTCGTCACGCTGCCCCGCCTACACACATCCTGACAGCCAATCACTAGCTATCAGGATGTGAGTGGCAGCGAGATTGGCCAATCATTGCTGGGCTAGCTGCAGAGTCCTCGGCCGCCCGAGAGGAGGGAGGGGAGCGGGCGCCCGGCACACAGAAGAGCCGCATTAAAATGTGTAAAGAGCCGCATGTGGCTCGCGAGCCGCGGCTTGCCGACCACTGGCCTAGAGGATCGGACCGGAAATGGGAGCGGGTACCTGTCAAATTCGGGTACCCTCTCCCCCCTGCCCTCCAACCCTTAATGGGGAGCAGTCCTTAAAGTGGAACTTCCACTTTTGGGTGGAGCTCCACTTTAAGAGTCAAATTGTGATAGGGGGAGGGCGAGGGTCTCTCCACCGCAGTGCAATGCACAATTTGGCAGCATTAAATAGGTGGTGTAGGATCAAATGTTGTACATTTTCTCTGTAATATCCGAGACATATAAAAGAAAGAGAGCAGGATTATCAGGAAGGACATGATCGGTGAACTTCTGAGAGACACAGTGTACCTCTTTCCAGAAGTGTTCCAATTTTTGGCAGGACCAGTGATTTGGGTACTTTTAAATCACGAACCTAAAAAAAGCATGCACTGAATCCAGGGTAGTTTTGGTGTTTTTATGGCAGCTATCATAATGGCTTCCGACAATGTCCCTTTAAGAAACCTATGGGTGATTCAACTAATCCTAAAGAGGTGGAGGAGATTTATTAAAAGTTTCAGGGAGGAAAAAAGATTCCATTTGTTATTACAGACCCTTCTGCATCTCTGCATGCCCAGGCCCTCCTATTACACTGTATGGGATCTTACCGACATTCGATATATAGAGCGGAAGCCAGTAGAGAAAGGTGTAACTGACAAGCTTTGCAAACAGCAGACATAGCGAAAACTCCAGCACGCCCTGAAAGAAAACGTTTCCTCAGATTAGTTAAACAGTGTAGAGAATGGATGTTATGGGGCTCATTCACATATGCAACACAATCTCCCATTTTTTTGATCCCATCAAGTGTTTAGCATCTGCCATGGTTCCTCACTCATGTGATTGGAGAGACAGAACCTTTGCTCTTCTCAGTATTTCTGCTTTTAAGCAGGGAGAGGGAGCAGGGTGCAGAATAAGTAAAATCTCTAAACATTCATAGAATAAAGTATGTTCAGGGGAAAATGTCTTGAGATTTAGGAGAAATGTGCTGGATGTATCTAGGGTTGCCACCTCATCCCTTTAAAACCAAAGACATAAGACACAGGTTTTGGGCTGATTAAGGTGGTAATTAAAATCACCTTTGTGCATTATCTGTGTTAAATTAGTCTCAGAACTTGTGTAATTAATATGTGTTTGGTTTTAAAGGGATGAGGTGGCAACCCTAGCTGTATCCCTCTTACCAACCATCAAAAAAGTCTGGAACCAAATTTTTTATGTGCATGACTCTTCATTTGAGGCACTAATTAATGAATACACACAAAAGTTTTAATCCTGAGGATTCAGCATTTGGCTTGTGAGCAACAGAAAACCCTACAAGGTCCAATGGACCATTCATCCCCAAAGCCAGAGGCCAGAGTTTGGACAAAAAAAAAACCCAAAAATAAACAAACCTTGAATCCTTTCCATTCAAAGATTTCTTTAGAAATGCTGCTTACCGGGATTGTAAGTGCCCCCCAGAAGCTAATGGCATGTGGGTGTTCAGCCAGCTCTTGAGGATTCCCAGACTCCTCGAGGTCCCCTCCGGACTCTCTCTTGAATATGTTCTCTGTGCTGCTGTTCATGGTATGGACATTCTCCAGCTCATCCTTCCCTTCTTCCTGAAATTATAACACAGTGCCATGGGGTCAGTTTTCTCCCTGAGCTATGCATGTATGCCCAAAAGATGGCTTGGTTTTTCTGAAGAAAATTAAACAAATACTAACTGGTGATTTATAATGTCTTGATATTAAAGAATAGCTAAACCATAGAACAAAAATATGTGCTATATTGCAGTTTACTAGTCCTTAGATGCAGCGGTTGCATTATTTTCCCTTTTTTATAATATTAACAACATTTTTAGCAAGTACAAGAAAAAACTGCCATAAATTTAGTGTCCTATTGAGCAGACCTAAAAGCATAAAGCAATCCTATCTTTAAATCCTTACTTTAAACCAGGGGTCTCCAGAATTTATAAGCAAAGGCAAATTTTCTGTCCCTCAGACTAAAGGAGGGCAGGACTGTGGCCAGTGAGAGTAGAAAATGCCCCAGCATCAGCTGGAGTAGACAATGTCTCAGACTTGGTGGTAAGTAGGAGGAGGAATAGTGCCCATTGTTGGTGTCATTGGAAACAATAATGGCTGATATCAATGGTAGTGCCCCAAGGTCCGGGTAAAGGCAAGCAAAGGGCAGCATCCAGCCAACAGGCCACAGTTTGGAGACCACTGCTTTAAACCAATCTCCCCACATAATAGAGATGAAAAAAGTGAAAACCTCTGTGACAACCATGAGTCCCTATATAGGTACAGTGGAGAAGTCAGTGAAGCTATGAAAGGACAGGAAATATGTGATTTACAGGATTACCTTTTGAAAATGAGGGAAAGTAAGCAAAAAAAAAAAAAACTAATGCAGCCACCACATCTAAGGACTGGTAAGCTGCAATATATAAAATTTTTGTTCTTGGGTTTAAATATACTTTAGGGCCTCTTGCTGTAAAATATCTTATTGTCTCGATATTTTATTAACTTGTATTGATGAGAAATGTTTAGATAGAAAGTCCTTCCACTGCTTGTATAAAACTCAAAAAGATGATTTAATAATAACGTTGCATAAAATTAGAAATAAAAATATTGGCATACAGAATTTTAAATAATGTCCAAAAAATATAGTTAAGTTCTTGATAAGATTGTATATATGTATATGTGTGTGTATGTGTGTGTGTATGTCTGTCGCATCAAGGCTGCTATAATGACTAAAACCTTTGTCCTGCTCTAGAAAAAGCAATCCAGCCCCCACCAACCTAAAAGTGGGTTGGTATTCTCTTGTACACTACTAAGATAATTGCTTCTCTCAAAGTCTGGTAACTTTATCTCTTACATAGATGGGGGAGGATGGGGGAAGGTATAGCTAATTGCTCTCATATGTGGCTTGAATGTAAAGGAAAAACCCAAGATATATGTTCACAGACTATGAAGTCTAATTCCTTACTTTTCCCAATCTAGAACAAATATAAATATAATAACTCAATTATTCTATTAAGATCCAACTCATTCATACTTATGTTAGTACTGTTAATAAGAAGATATTAAATATTAGGTTAAGGAAAGCTTCTAACACTTGCACACGGACATAATCATTTACTGATGTTTAAGCTACACTTACATGGCCATAACATAGCCGTATAAATTTTACTGATCATTATTTATTTATTTATTTCAGGTACTTCTATAGTGCCGTCAGTTTTACACAGCGCTTTACATATATATATATATTTTGTACATTCACATCAGTCCCTAACCTTCAAGGGGCGTACAATCTAAGGTCCCTAACTCACATTCATACATACACATACCAGGGCCAATTTAGACAGGAGCCGATTAACCTACCAGCATGTCTTTGGAGTGTGAGAGGAAACCAAAGTAATCGGAGGAAACCCACGCAGGCACAGGGAGAACATGCAAACTCCAGGCAGGTGGTGCCGTGGTTGGGATTTGAACCAGCGACCCAAGTACTGCCAGATCATTAGGCAAGGAAAATAAGTTCCTGGGTAAATAGATTGGTTTTTTTTAATACGCAAAAATTGTTCTTTTCTTTTTTTTAATGGTGTATACCATTAAATTTTTTTTTTACTGCCTTGTGAATGAGGCCTTATACTCAGGATTTTGTTGACAGAAAGATCCTGAGTAAAATGTTCTGTAGAGACCTTGTGTAAAGTTGCGCAAACGTATTTGTATACAGCACATGCGTAAAATTCCCCTTCAACCTTTTCAAGATACCAGTGTTCCAATATAACCGTGTATACACGCTCATGCACATGTGTGTAAATTATTGCACTTAAATGTAATATTTTCTATATTTATTTTATGGCTCTATACTCATTGCTGTATTAATGATCTTTTTTTTTAAATCAGGTCTTTTTTATTGAAATTTGGATCCATGTACATGTTATACAATCCCAACCTCCATCATTGGACAACAGTAGTAATAACACTTTTCAATAATGCAATACAAATCAGTATACATCTGAGCATACAGAAGACATGAGCATAGATCCCAAACCACAATGTTTTCATTTTTGTTTGAAAAAAATAAATATCGAAAAAATACAAAAAGACCAAGAAAACTAAAATATAAAACCTGGCTTCAAAAGAACTACTATGATCGCCTCCTTCATAGAGGCCGGGAGGGACTCTTGAAGCATAGCAGCCTTTATGCAGTAATTCAGGAAGAAATACTTCTCCAAAAACTTTATACATTTTGATTGGCAATCCATCACTACCTGGAGACCTCAAGACTTAGAATTGGGAAAATAATTCACCGCTAATTGTAATTCTTCCAAGGATATCGGAGCATTCAGGCTCTTCCTATCTGCAGCCCAAAGCTTCAGAAGATGAATCTCAGCAAGGAAATCAGTGAGCCTATTCATGGGGTAGGAAGCTCTAGAAGAGTAGGAAGCATAGAAGGAATTAAAGCCCTGTAGTAGTAATAGTAGGAGTATCAGTGGCTGTGTTGGAGACATTTTCAATGCAGAGAAATAGGTTGATGGCTTCTCTCCCTCCTCAAAAAAAAGGTCTGAGAGGAGAAAAATAGTTTATTGTCAGCATGTTCGATAGAATTGTTGCCCGGTTATCCAAGCTTTTTTAGTTATGGGAGTGGGATTAGACATATATCCCTGTTCTGCTTTATCAACAGCTGCACTAGCATCTCTGGCCCATTGTCTAGTATTATTTTTAATTAAGGAGATCTCCTGAATGCATAAACCTCTAAAATAAGCTTTCAGAGCATCCCACAACACCATAGGTGAGGTTGAGTGCCTATTATCAAGCAAGAAGCCTCTCAAATTAGATTGTATACTGTCAATATTGGGAAAAGGGGTAGCCAAAAGGGATTGTTTCCATAATATGGAATTAATTATGTAATTATGGAATTAATTACGTAACGACAAAGACAACATAACTGGCGAGTGGTCGGACAGACCCCTAGCCAAGTACTCAACATTAGGATTAAGGATAAAAGTTGATTCTGTACCCAGGATAAGGTCTAAATGTGAAAGAGCCGAATGGGTCAGGGAGTGTCAGAAAAATTGGGCTACAACTGGATGCTTGATCCGCCAAAGATCCACAAGCCCCACTTCAGTTATGTGTCGTGCAAAAGGGGTCAAAGCGATACATATAATATGTTAATAAAATCACCAACCGCTATGACTGAAATTTGGGGATGCCATGCTATAAATTGAAATAGGTACTGCAGAACCTCAGGATGAAAAGGAGGAGGAATGTAAATATTAGCTATAATACAGACATATAAGTCCCAGTTACACAGAAGAAAAATAAATCTGCCCTTAGGGTCGATCTTCGAGGAGTTCACCTTGAGAGGAGCATTTCGGGAAATCAAGACACTCACTCCTCAGGAGTATTGCATATGTGTAAAGTGAAATTGAAGTGGAAATGTAGAATGTTGCAATAAATGGATAGAGTCCTCAGTCAAATGAGTCTCCTGCAGGCATAGGATAGCAGGTTTTTGTTGACCAACCATAGTGAAAATGGCCATTCTTTTCTTTGGATCATGTAATCCTCTCACGTTCCAGAGAGGACCGTGTCTGAGTGCTTATTCATTTGTATAAATCTGAAATGAAAATGATCTTCGGATCAAGAACCACACCCAGCGTATTTTGGAGGGGAACCCAAAGATCAGTAACCATAGATTAGGAGGGTCATACACCAGTCCAGACAGGGCCTGTAGTGATGACATGTACATTAGGTAGAACAAGATGGACATTTGAAGGTAGCAACAAAATACTAATAGAATCAAAACCTGTAACAACACAAAAAAGTCAAGGCTCCTTCCATGTCTCAGCTGGTCGGGCTCAAGAACTCCCCGCAGGGTTAAGAGGGGGGTAAAAACAAGGGCTATTGCCAATGGTGTCAGGCAATCAACCATGTAAGCTTCCATAATGACAACTAGAGGCTGTCTGGACTTTCTTTTCGAGCTCCATTTTAGGCAAAATAAGAGAGCATATTCAGCAGATTTATTGGTATCATTCGATGATCTAATCAGGTGGGTTCTGGACGAAGGCTTTGCTCATTGCGATCTAACCAGTTGGATGCCGTAGTAGGTGAATCAAAAAATTGAGCCGATCCATTGGTCACCACATGTAGTTTTGCAGGGTATAACAGAGTATGCCACTGAGATGAAGCGTAGGTATCTTTTAACGCCCGTGAATTTTGCCCGCTTCCTCTAGGCCTCAGCTGAGAAATCAGGAAATGTGGACACTTTGGAGCCCTGGATTTCCATATTTGTTTTCTGCCTAGCCAGGCGTAGGATAATATCTCTGTCTTTGTAGTGAAGTAGCTTCAAAAGGAAGGGTCGATTAGGGCCACCCGGTGGCGGAGCGTGGGGGCGAACCCTGTGTGCTCTTTCCACAGAGAAAAAGGGCATCAGATTATCTTTTCCAAAGGTATTAGAAAGCCAAGACTCAATAAAATCGACAGGACTCTTATCCTAAGCTTTTTCAAGCATACCCACAATCCGCAAATTACTGCGTCGGAGTCTATTTTTTACATATCCTCTACTCTGACTGCGTGTTCAGATGTTTTAGCTGAAATGGTGCAAACCGTTTGCTCCAGGGGGATCAGCTCGTCCTCCACGTTGCTCACCCTACCCTCTAGCGCAGCAGCTCTTTCCTTAATCTTCTGCATCTCATGTCTGATGTGAATATATCCTCCTTCATGCCCTTAAATTCTAGTGTTAGTTGAGTGAGTGAGGAATCATAGGTATGGACCGCTGTAAGGATTTCTTTCAGCGTGGGTTCTGGACGGTCTGTCTCTGCGTTCTCAGTGGGCGAGGAAGGCAGCAATGCACTCACCGTATCCCGAGTGGAGGAAAGCATCGGAGGTGCCAGAGCTGGCTGGTCCGCACTGGAGGAACTCAGTGGAGAAGAGGACAAGGGCTCCGGAGGTGAGTGTACCTTATGCGGTATGTGTGTGTATCTCCTCAGCTTTGCAGCTGCATCCGCTTGGCGGTCTTTCGCAGCACGCTGCAGAAGCGGGGTTCTGCCATGTTGAGTGGGCCTCACAGAAGAGGCGCCTTCCTCCTTCTTCCTGGTCATAGTCACGGAGCTCCGGAGAAGGAGGCAGGGTGGGTCACTATACAGCTGTATCAGTGTTTCTTAGCGGTACCACACATTTCTGAGTCTAACTGCAGGATTATAAGCTGTGGAACAGTGTGTCCACTCACATGGACGGCCAAGCCATACCCCCCATATTAATGATCTTTACACAACTGTGTGCATTGTTCTGTAAAGAACAATGCACCTGTGTCAGTGAAAAATGTGGTGATTTTTTTCTCCCATTTCCAACAGGCCAAAGAAGCACTTCTAATTCCCTCTACCTAGTAGTCCCCCCAAGTTGTTATCTCATCATTCCAAATATCTATGTAGGGCAGCTTCTATACATGGATTGCCAAAGAAGTGTTTTTTTTATTATAATAAATCTACTCACAATGTTCTGATCTGGCGGCGTACAGCCTACATCTTCAGGATCTGCAGAGAAAGCATAAATAAGACCCTTTGGATGAGAATTCAAGAGACAGTCTAGACCTGGCATGACTTTCTAGGATGAATGTTTGCGTGACCCTTTCGCTACTCTTTGTGGGTCTTAGGTGCTTTATGATGAAGCATTCTCCCTCATAAGATTAGAACAATCAAACATCTGATTCTAGCATAGGATATACCAAAATCAATCCATGCTTTATAAGCTGCTACAAAATGCACCAGTCAGGTTGTCCACCCACCAACTTTGTCACCGCTAAATCACCCCAATGCTAGGTTCCCTACACTGGGTTCCAATTTTATGGCAGACAGCCTTAAAAAAATCAGCCTATCCCACTTATAAAGCTCTAAATAACTTGCCTCCCCCTATTTATTAGAGAATCTGCTCACCCATTTTCCCACATGTGCCTTCCGCTCCTCAGAGAAATGAAAATGACTTGTGCCCAGAGTTGTCTTAAAATCTTTTGGATCTCATGCATTCTATCTTACAGTACACACCATATGGAACTCGCTGCCATCCATTGTCTAGGAAGCATCTCTCTGCAGACTCAAGATACACCTATAAACCTTGACTTATAGCAACACCTGATAAACCCCTTCTTAAAAGATTCCAACACCAGCTGTGAAAGAACAAATATACAGATGACTTACACTCAACTAGGAAGAAGAAACAGATGATTCCCAGCACACCGATTATAATTCCCGGTACGATGAAGGACAAGCCCCAGGCAGAAGAGACAAAAGCCCCAGCAATTAGGGAGCCCAGTATGTTGCCGACAGCTGTGTGAGAGTTCCAGATCCCCATGATGAACCCTCGCCTATTAGAGGAACAAAGTACAATGTGCCAATAAGATTGCATCAATAGAAGAGTTTACAATGTGTTTCTATGGGTAAATCACATATGGAATGGAAAAACAGACATGGATTTGATGTATATTTTTTGAGGCATCCTTGGATTGTTTTTCTATTTGTGTTCTCAAAACAATGGCACACTGACACAAGGAGGGTGGGAGAGGGTCCCAGACTATTGACACACATTCACACTTGGGGGTTTCAATGACACATTGACACTCAGGGGTCTCAATGACACTCAGAGGACCCAAATACACATAAGATACTGGTGTCCTAATAACACATTTACATTTGGAGGGGTTCTCAATAGCATACTAACCCTCAAAGGTCCCAATGATACACCGATACTCAGAGGTTTTATTAGCACAGTAACACCCAGGGGCTACGAAATAAGTACACACTGACACTGAGGAGTCCCAATGACACACTGACACTGAGGGGTCCCAATGGCACTGACACTGAGGGGTCCCAATGGCACTGACACTGAGGGGTCCCAATGGCACTGACACTTAAGGGTTCAAGTTACTAATAACATTCTGGTGTCCCAATGACACACTCATATTTGGGAGGGGGGGGTGTCTCAATGACACACTAGCATTCAAAGGTTCCATGGATATAATGACACTCAGAGTTCCTAATGGCAAACACTCGGAGGCCCCACTGGCACACTGACACATAACACAGAATAATGCTGCTCTAAAGGTAGAACATCTTCAACCTCTGAAGCATACACCCAGGAAATAGACACAGCTTTAATAATAACTTACTTTCCTTTACCAAACCAATTCCCCATGCAGGCTACTACAGATGGCCATCCCGTAGTCTGAGCCAGACCATTTAAGATCTATGAAAACATTAAAAAAACTGAATTAGTGAGCTGACCTACCATAAGGAAGCATCACAAATTGAAATAGATAAGTGAAGGTTTAGCCATCATTTTAAATTATTTTTCATGGAAAGATCAGTGACATAAACATTACATTTTCCATAGAAAGTCCTGTAAATCTCTTAACGCCAAATGGACAAAGTTGAATTAGTCTGATGCTGTCACAGGATTGTAAGGATTTATACCAGATACTGTTGGCACTAATAAGACAAGTCCAGTATTTCAGAGGTTTTGGTTAGACTTTAAAGGAATAAGCTATAGTTTTTTCTGATTGAAGTTAATGGAAGATCTAAAGGAGGTTGTACAGTAAGATTGTTCAGTATATGGCCACCTCAAGGGTTAGACTAATGTTATGGGTCAGGGCATGCGGGGCAATACTACTGTTCTTTGTGCCAAAAACCTAACAATGTTATAATGGTGATCTAGTCTGTTCTGGTTATTTTGCATACTGGTATTGCTCTTTGATATTATGATCTTACCTGGAAGAGGATATAGTACCAGAGGGCATGAATGTTCCAATAAAAGCCCAGTCCCAGGAAAATTGTGAACACACCACAGATGAACATACCACCGGACAAATAATAGCGCAACGGAAGGCGTTCGCCAAAGATACCACTGCAAACAAACGAAAGCAATAAATAACAAGTAAAAAAAGATGACTTTATTCTTTCAAAGACATGTTCTCTATGGTCTTCCAATATGAGAAAACTGGTAAATAGCAGGAGCTTCCTATTCACTACATGGTGATCTCTCTCATACCAACGATAAATCTATTCTGGCTGCTCTGTGGAGCAAATGATGGTTTTAAAGCCTCAATTCAAGGGATAGAATTAATGGTTTGAAGAGAGTAACAAGTTGGTCTATGGTGTGCAGTTGTTCTTATTAGGGGTAAGTAGAGTATATTTGGCAAAATTTACCATTAAATAACTACTTTGCCAAAATTTTCTTAAAAAAAAAAAAACAAAAAACTAAAAAACTTTTTTTTGTGTTTTCATTTTTATTTTTTGTGTATTTGATCGTTGTGTGTGCTATCACTTTTCATTTTTATTATCCTTTTATTTCACTGCCTATTTCCTTTCTGTTAAAAAATTTAAAAGTTATGAGACTAATGAGGGGTAATTTTTGGGCACAAGGATAGGTTCAGGATGGTTGAAAAAGAGCTTCTCTAACCCTAAGGAGCTATTTAAACCCCACTGATTCATTAAACAAAAAGGCCTTACATTTTCATCTTCTTTATGGACAGTCTTGTTACACATGCCTTGTGTGTTTGCCTTTTAATAATTTTATCCCTTCCTCACTCCGAAGCTGGATGATGCTCTGTATAGCTAGTCCCACCCTTTTTTCTAGTGTATCTTCAGTTTATGTCCTGAGCATATGTAATTACTGGAGCTAGACATACTATGATTTTTATTATCTAAAAAAAAATTCTGCTGGGGAATAGGTTTCTCATGTTGACACTGGATCATTTTTTCCTCCATCTCTGACACCGCAGCATTTTTTCCAATCATTGATAATGGATCATATTTTTACTTTCTTTTACTGACCAATGGCTCTTTTTCTCCCACTGACTTATGACGCTGAGAAATTTTGCTCCCTCTGACAGCTAAACTTTTCCTACTGATCAGTGACACCAGCCATTTTTCCTCCCACTGACCACCAAAAGCATAGAATTTTCTTCCCACACAGAAATGTAAGGGGCGCCGTGTTCCATAATCCCAACTGCTGCACTCTGTACACTGTGTTACATGTTACACACTCCTGACCTCTATGCTCCATACCAGTAGTTCTCAACCACTTGTCACTTCTTATTAATTTGTAATTACATATTTTACATTCCCATACTTTTATTGTATGAGTAAAAGCTTTTTTTTCCTGTTGGGGCATGGAAGGTTTTGTAAGAATTTACTGGGTCGTGGTCTCACCAAGGTTGAAAACCACTGATTTAGAGCCTTGAAAAGCATAGGAAAACAGTAATTTCCTTTACTTATGTAAAAGACATAATTACTGTTTCAAGAGGACTTTCTCATTCATTTAATTATACTTCTGAATTGTTTCTAATTACATAAAGCTATGAAAAATCAAAAGGCAATTCAGCCATTTAAAACTAGATCATACTAGAAGTTGTTTACAGTAAATTACAATTACCAGGTTTCATCATGAAAATAAAAGCATGCTGTGTCAGCATTATTCATGTCATTGTTTTGGGAGATAAATGTTATAGTTCACGCCTCTGCTGAAAATACCATCAAATATCATATTTGAGGTTTCTGCAGTTAAATATATGATCCTCTAAACCAGGGTTCTACAAATTTTCTAAACAAACTTTAGGGGGGCCGGACTGTGATCAGTGAGAAAAGAAAATGTCCTGAAATCACTGGGAGTAAACAGTGTCCCATCATTAGTATCAATGGAGGAATAGTACCCCATCATTGGTATCAATGGGAGCAATAGTGCCCCATCATTGGTATCAATGAGAGTCATAGTACCCCATCATTGGTATCAGTGGGAGGAATAGTGCCCCATCATTGGTATCAGTGGGAGGAATAGTGCCCCATCTTTGGAATCAATGGGAGGAATAGTGCTCCATCATTGGTATCAATGACAGTCATAGTACCCCATCATTGGTGTCAATGGGAGGAATAGTGCTCAATCATTGGTATCAATGAGAGTCATAGTACCCCATCATTGGAATCAATAGGAAGAATAGTGCCCCATTATTGGTGTCAATGGGAGGAATAGTACCTCATCATTGGTATCAATAGGAGCAATAGTGCCCCATCATTGGTATCAATGAGAGTCATTGTATCCCATCATTGAAATCAATGGGAGCAATAGTGCCCCATCATTGGTATCAATGAGAGCCATAGTACCCCATCATTGGAATCAATGGGAGGAATAGTGCCCCATCATTGGTGCCAATGGGAGGAATAGTGCCCCATCATTGGTGCCAATGGGAGGAATAGTGCCCCATCATTGGTGCCAATGGGAGGAATATTTCCCCATCATTGGTGTCAGTGGGAGGAATAGTGCCCCATCATTGGTGTCATTGGGAGAAAAAGTACACCATCGATGGAATCAATGGAAGAAGTGCCGCATCATTGATGTTAGTGGGAGGAATAGAGCCCCATTGTCAGTGTCAGGAACTATGCCACACTGTTGCTGACAGTGGGAGGAATAATTCCCCGAGGGCTGGATAAAAGCAAATACTAACAGTCCATAGAGAGATGCAGAGATTGAGATCATTTATTGAAAATGGACACAAATAAAGCAGGTGGCAGAGAATGTCTTAGAGTGTTACTAAACCCACAACAGTAAAATCAGTCTGTATATGCAGTAGAGCATGCTTGTTATACTCACTGTGGAACTTAAGGGGTTAATATTCCACATTGTGTAAAAGGGTGTTTAATCCTGTCTTCTCTGATCCTCCCCTTCTTCCACATTCCCATTTCACCTCCTGATAGAACAGAGCCTTGGGAACACTCTGCATATGCTCAGTTTGGTGTGTATTGCTAGAGAGTTTTTTCTTTTTCTTGGGAGGGTGCATGTGATCAGCACAGGGACAATCAGCACTGTCCATACAGAGGGTCAGGGGTCATGCAATCTCATAGGGCAGTGAGAGGAGAATAAAAACTCCAACAAGCTTTAACAAGAGCTTGGCGAGACACTGATAGAAGTCACAAGACTGCTCTAACTGCTGATGAGAAAAGGTATTTAGCAGTTTATATTAACTACAATAATTGCATTTCCATGTTCTGTGTACTGTGATATAGTTAATGCAGGGTCCTGGGTTTAGTAACACTTTAATGCACTTTGCAGCTAACAGTTCTTAATCAGAAGGCTAAACATGATCATGAATTAATGCTTGTGTCTTGGAATAAACCCTTTGAAGGGACATTTCTGCCTAAGGGAACCAAAAGGGAACTGGGAGAATTTTTGGATATTGGAAATAGCCTTTCCCTAAAGAGAAGGTAGAATAGACAAGACTATAAAGCCAAATGCTAGTGGATACCTGACCATAACACCTATATGAGCTTGTTAGGCATCTCATTCCAAAACCATGGCCATTAATATGGAGTTGCCCCCTTAAAAACTCCACTCTTTTGGCAGGTTTTTCGCAAGATTTTGGAGTATGTCTTTGGAAAGTTTTGCTGATTTGTGAGGTCATGTACTGACGTTGGACCCATCTCTCAATTGGTGTTCCAATTCATCTAAAAGGTGTTCAGTAGAGCCGAGGTCAGGGATCTGTGCAGGGCACTGGAGTTCTTCCAAACTAAACTGGTCAAACCTTGTCTTCATGGAGCTGGCTTTGTTCTGGCACAGGAGAATACCAGATTGAAAAATATCCTAAGATGATTACCTATAGCAATGTTTAATCACATCACAAACATAGGCTTCTATGCATGTTGGGCCAGGGCCTATCTCAGCCCAGCACTGTCAAGGACAGTGGTCAGATATTACCAGGGGCGGACTGACCATTTGGAAACTTGGGCACTGCCCGAGGGCCCGGAGTCAGTAGGGGGCCCCATGAGATGCCCCTGGTACCTTTTTCATAGGCTTTTTTCAGTTTGGGCAAGGACACAGGGGCCCCATGATTCCCTATTGCCCGGGGGCCCCATGAGTTGTCAGTCCGCCCCTGGATATTACTGAAAGAATGGAGTTGCAGAAGTGAGGTAATCCAGGTTTAATGTTCTGCCAAATTCATAAACATTTTTAAGAATGATCAGGGGGAAAACACTCATTACTTTATACGCCTCTGAAATGTTTGATAACCTAATAGCCTTGTCATTTCTTTTATCTACTCTAAACAACCTAGTAAAGTTGAAATGCAATAAAAGTTTTATGTTATTACTTTGAAATTTGCTACATTGCTGGGCCTGCCAGGTTAAAGAGCATCTCAAACTTCTTATCTATAGGATCTTTCAATGAAGGAACATCTTCAGTTGGTACAGCGAGATGTTTGTTTAGGGCTGAGATGGTAGGATCAATTACTGCAACAGATCACTTATTTGTGAACTCTTTTCCATTCAACAGAGTTCAGCAATGATTTTCGAAGGAGTGAAAATCGTTTTATGGAGCGATCCAATCGTCAGACTGTCCATACGATTTGTTTATGAACAGGGAATTTTTTTACATTTTGCCGATCTTTTTGTACCCAAAGGGACAAGGCAAGATGGAAGAAAATCAAGTACTAAAATGCAAAGGCTTTTGCGCATAGCATAAGTGAGCATGCCCACATTAGCAAATATATTGCATGAAACCACAGCTTTAAAGTGGTTGTAAAGGCTGAAGGTTTTTTACATTCTGTGTGTAGTAGTGCCCCCAGCCCCCTCAATACCTATCTTAGCTTCATCACGATCCAGCAATGTGAATAGCAGCCGCGGTTGTCCCAGGTCTCTGCCTCCTCATTGGCTTAGTGTGTGAATGGACACACAGAGCAGCGGGCGCCCCCATAGCAAGCTGCTTGCTGTGGGGGCACCCGACAGACAGGAGGAGCCAGGAGAGCCAGTGGTAGACCCGAGAAGAGGAGGATCCAGGCTGCTCTGTGCAAAACCACTGCACTCAGTAGGTAAGTATAGACATGTTTGTTATTTTACAAAAACAAAATGAACCTTTACAATCGCTTTAAGTGTATAGAAGTATGGAAGTGAGGAATCTTCCACGGCCTCCTCCATTGTGTCCTCCTCGTTTCCTTCTGTGCCCACCTCTTCTAGGCCAGGCATATCTGGATCCAACTCAGGTAGAGATGGAGATGCTGGAGAAGGGGCCTAGCATTTTCTGGTCCTGAACAGAGATGGCTGTATTAAAGTCATTAGCTGTCTGAGGAATTGTGTCATAGATGCAGAAAAATCTGCTTTTGTCAAGTAGGGTGCTTGTTGAGTGCGTGAAATGGAGCAAAAGTCAGAAGACAGGTGTGTTGTGCTCCAGTGTAAGGAAAGAATCATCACTCTGAGGTTTCATGTGCTTGTGAGCCTTTAGCAGGACAAATGTTCACCATAGCTATGGGTGAGGGTATTCCTCTGTGAGGTACTTACACTGTAGGTTATAGAGTGTCTGGAAGGAGTACACAGCAACTCAGATGTACTGTCCGATAGTAAAGTCCTCATGGTGAAGGGCAGGAGGAAGAGCCCGAGTACCCAATAAAGGCTCTAGGCTGAAGTAGCATTGAAGTGTTTGACCAGTGGTGTGATGTAACACCTGGTTTTCCATCTGAGGATAAGCTTGAGTGGTTGAATTTTAGCGCGAAGATTTAAAATTATGCACTGTACAGTGAGCACTGTATATTCCAAGTATAACCCCAGTCAGAGATACAGGGTGACCTTGTCTACTGTATATTGCTGGTCATTAGATAGAGTCCAGGATTTGTCCGTCACAGTGGGCATACCCCTGAAGGGGTTTTCAGGGTCTGTTTCATAGGGATGGACCACATCCCTTGACCTGTATGGCACCCTGTGGTTATCTACACATGTTGAACAAAGTGCTGAGGTAATCATCCAAGCACGAACCAGTGCTCAAACCAGATTACTGGTCATCCTCATGGAGTGAAGTCCAAGTATGGCTCCCAAGGTTTTATCGAGGGTGCACTCAGATAAAATGCACTTCAGATACAGATGCACTGCTTATATTGTGGTATTAGAAGACAGTGAAGGAATTGATTGAAGAGTTTATAGAAGAATTCAAAGATAAAAAAAAATTAATTAGTTAAAGGAGAAGTAGGGTGAAACTTCATTCTGCACTCCTGTGACCCGTATTCAACTGACAGCGGGCTAAATCCGCTGTTGGCTAACGTCACTTAGCTGGTCCAGACTTTGGAGGGATCCCAACTTTAATGTTGATTCACCCAGATGCCTGACGGGCAGCTGGATCAACCTCTTGGCGCACTGTTGGGAGCCTGAGCTAGTTGCCCTGCCCCATCCACAGCTCAACGCTCCAGTGAACCCTGGAAGGTTAAACTAAAAGCCAGTAACTGACATTCACTGGCTCTCTGTTCACTGAAGACTGAGAACTGTGCGATCAGTGGCCTTTGATTCATCAGTTCTCGGTGTAAAGGCACCAAGGGACAGATGCAGCATCGGATTGTTGCTTCATCCACCTAAGTGAGTATACATGTTTGTATGTTTTTTTCAAAACCCGCACTTCTCTTTTAAGCAAAGAGTGATTTCTCTGTAAGGGAGAAGAGGTCCATTACTTTTGGAAAGTAGCAAAAAAGAAATTAAAACTCAAAGATTCCGATAGCGATATAGGAGAGGTGCCCAACGACGTGTCCTCAAAAGCTTGTCAATCGCCTTGTCAGGAATAGGCTCAGCACAGGTGGTGCTGGGGCTCACCTGCCTTTTGGGCTGCAGTACCAGTGCTGGCCAACGGGTGCTCTCAACAGCCAGAATCTCACTCCTGCAATCAAGCCATCACCTGAGGCTGATTGCAGGAGGTGTATTAAGCAATGGTCAGGCCTGCTGTCAGTGCCTTGGTGTTTGTTTCCCATGAGCCCCTGTACCTGGTCCTGTCTTCTGCCTGCCTGCCTGTTTCCCCTGCTTCACTGACACTGATCGAACTCCGCCTGCACTGACCTCGGCTATTCCTGACCTTTCTCCTGCCTGCTCCGTTTGTACCTTGTCTGCCCGATTGTTCCTGACCCGGCCTGCCTGACCACTCTACCTCTCCAGCCTGACTACGCCTGTCTGTGCTCCTGAACATACTGACATTAGTTAGAGGTTTGGTTTTGTTTGTACTGTGCGTTGTATACTTGTGTAGTTCCTAATAAATTATATTCTTATACATCACTCCTGAAGCCTGCGTTTCCCTGTGTCAGTCCACACACCTCTGGTCATACCTGGAGCCCTGACACGCCTGAAGGTACAAGCCTATAACTCAGGGTCTACAAATACCCCAGCTGACATATAGCTGCCTCTAAAAGTTGGATTTTGGCTCCTGGTTTCTATCTACTCTGGATCCATCTCTCCACTAACACATACCTACATACCTATTTCTTATTTGGGACAGAGTACAGATGAGTTGTCCTCTAGAATTAGTATACTGGTAGGCAGTAATTGGCAACAAAAACAAGTACTTTCACACACACAGTTGGGTCACATTCTTTAACTGGTGTCTGATCTTTGCTGGGCTCACAATATTAGTATTTTTTCCAATTTAGGTCAGGTTTGTTGGTTTACTATAGCATATCTGATTATTGTTAGTATTTGTCAAAATCTCCTCAGTGATATCTTCATATACTGACCTTAGGAACATGCCAATGGCGTACGAAAATAGAAACGCCGTGTCCAGAGACCCCAGAAGTTCTTTGTAATTGGGACCATCTAAATTGAAAAGACCAAATTTATATTCTTTATATACATTATTTCTTTAGCAGCAGCCAAATTAAGCTATAATGTTGCTCATTTTAGAAAGAATTATGGTAGAGTTTGTCCAGGCTTCAGGATGCAAAACACACTTTGGAAAAAAAAAACTACTTACCTTGTTGTAATAGGTAGCCCTGTATTTTACATATCTTTAGAATGTACTATATATATAAACCAGAAATACAAAATATTTTCCAACAAAGGAAATTTTGAAAGTATCCGACATGTGTGACCTCACAGAAAAATGATTTTCCACGAAGATTTAGTCACATGCCAACTATGGGTCTCGTCTTAAGATTTTCCAAACAAAAGAGAATTTAAAGAGAAGTTCAAGACTGACATTACAAATAGCAATTATTACGCATTGATTTAAATAGCACAGAGGAAATAGTTACTATGCTGATCCTAGGATATGCAAAAGACTAATTATGGAATACTACAGATCTATCCCAGAGGCATTAATGTCGCCCTCACACCTTCACGTAGAGTAAATGTAAACCCAATCTCTAAAATCCCATATATTAAAAGCTGTAATGTGAATATCATTTCAAACAAGTGATAAACCAACAGGTAAGATCTTCTGACCACCCTGTAATTAATGTCTGCGGCCATACACTAGTTGAATTTTGTTCACGATTTTTTGTTTTAAGAACATTCGTTCAATCTTCTAATCATTAATGGGGTCAAATTGACATTCTTTTTCTACCACAAATTCGAAGGAGCAGAATGGAATTTTTTTTTCTTGAAACAACAGGGTAAGTGGCTTTCCTTCAGTAAAATCTATTAGTACCAAAATCAAATGCGAAAAGAAAACTACATTTTGAAGAACTTTCAAATAACACTCATCTTAGGGGTAGGTGTCGGTCACCAGAGGCATGATGAGAAACTCAATTGTGATTACTCAAGCATCATGTGACCACGGCAATAGGAAGCCACTTAAAAAGGAAAAGTGATTAATGCAGTTTGCAACCTTTACACAAGCCTCTTATCTGCGAATTGTGTGTAAATTAAATGATTCATTGTTGGGCTTCAATGATGAGGGACCATAAATGAGCAACACAAAGGATGATCAATGGTTGCTAATATCCCATTTGTGCCAACAGGTAAATACATTCATGGCATTATAATCCAATCCTTCACTTTAATATGGAAGCCGGAGGGCATTAGATGCCTTGGGGTTTATTTACTAAAGCTGGAGAGTCCAAAATCAGACTCCCTTCTGCATAGAAACCAATCAGCTTCCAGGTTTCATTGCCAAAGCTTCATTGAACAAGCTGAGGTTAGAAGCTGATTGGTTTCTATGCAGAAGGGAGTCTGATTTTGGACTCTCCAGCTTTAGTAAATAAACCCCCTTGTGTCTGCCGTCCCTCTTTCCTACAGGTTTAACTATCCATCAGACTCTGTGCGGTCTACATGAACATCGCTCACCTCAGTGGCAACGCATACAAAGGATAATAGTCAGCCTTTCTTGGAAACTTTTGCCCAATGGCCCATTGTTCTTCTTTTCCTCCCATCCATATGTGTTGGCATTGGTAAAGAAAAATGTCTGTCTAGATTGTTGCTCTGCTGACATATTATTTGTTCAACGTGAAAAACTACTGAACACACACATGTATTGTCCTAATTTACTTTTAACCTTTCTTCTGATAAACAAGTAACAAAAAAATATGTATAATAAAAGGTCTACAAGTCATTAAAGAGGCTGAATGTATTACAGATGTAGCCAGGTGCTGGATAGATCATTATGTCTTTCAGGGACATTTACAGATGTGACTATGGTTACTCCTTTCTCCCTATTGCCCAGTACTGGGACTGCTACACCACTTCCTATTAGCAGAGTGGATCCAGTTCTTCCACAGCAGAGACAGCAGAGGATCTAGAGGACCTGTAGTCCTACAGCCAATACATACTGTATTTCTGAGTGCTGATTGAACTACAACTACCAGAGCTGGTGAACCAGAAGGATGCTGGGACAGCAGATATATTCTACAGCAAGGGACTGTCTCTCTCTCTCTCTCTCTCTCTCTCGGTGTGGGATTCAGAACACAGGGGGACTGCCGTTCTCCTCCAGAAACAAATTGCTTGCCTACTGACTTGGGACTCTGCACATTAGTTCAGCACAGTGACACCAATTGCCACAACAGGATCCCATCAGCTTCTCAGCATTTGGACTGTCCCAGTCTTCCCACAGACATTTCTGCTCTCTGCACTGACAGGCTTTCAGGTAACTCTGCATATCCCTGCAAACAGTCAAAAGCCTGGGCAAGAACTCTGTTCCTAGGAGGCCATGCTATCCATAGGATAGGTGAGCAGGTGGATGCTCAACCTCTTTCTGTCATCACTCTATAGACATTGCATGCAGACACTTTTACATCTCAGTTACCAGGAGACCTTTGCTTTGAGCAGTACCAGGGCTTATCTGTTTAACTTCAATGAATTACCAGTACTCACTAATGCTTATGGGCCCCAACATTGCTAGCAGAAGACAGAACACCACCGTATCGGGAACTTTAAACATTACAGGGCTCAAATCACAATCTCTATTTAAAAGGGACCTTTTTTCTTCTAAGGCCATTGTTATTCAATTTAGGGTACTTATATCTATACATTTACTTAATTCTATGAATGCCTCGTTGCAGCGTTGATGGCATAGAGAGAGCTGATAAGTCAACAAGCCTTTTCCTCCCCCTCTTGCGGCTAGTGTTGAAGCTTACTACTCATGATTGTATAACCTGTTAATGTTTCTACTCTTTTGAACAAGTCTAATATAGAGGTGTTACTAAATAATTGTGTCACTTGCACTATTATTCCATACTGCTGAAATATACCTGAACCCAGAGGGTCAGAGGTGTCGAGAGGGTTGCAAGGTCAGGGCAACCACTGGGAACAAGCATTATCAAGTGTCCCCTGCGGGGGGTAACGCTACACATATATTTAGAATGCCGGAAAGCTTAGTCCCATTCAGAGCTCTAGTGACATTTTACGGCAGGAAGGTCTCACTTTGTGACAAGGACTATTTGGTTTTAACCATATGGTTATAGGGATCGTTTATTATATATTAAATGCTTTTATTTATATCAGGTTATTAGCAATATATATGAAAGGGTTTGTATTTTTAGATTTTCAGTTTATTTTATGCTGTTCTTTTCTTAGCCCTGAAGTGGGAGTGTTAGGCCCCTGAAATGTGTTGGATTTTCCACTCCTTGTTGTGATCAGTAAACTCTTACTGGAGTCAATCAAGTCTTCTGGTGCTCTCATCTTTTTTAATGCACTTCCGACTTCTCCAGGAACCATTTAGGAAACAGAGCTGCCTCTAAAAAGGTAAACCCCCTTATTTTGTTATCCACCTATCCTGGGGTCTAACACTCCACCAACATATGTTCAGGGGAATTTAATAAAGGATAAGACCCCACATCTCTCCTCTGCAATGTAAAGCATTAGATCAAAAAAAAAGCATTGATCTAGTGCTTTAAAAAAAAAATGTCCAGAGCCGGAAGTGACATCGCTCGGGTCCTCCAAGGGCATAGAGATGAGTGGAGGCCATCTTTCCTTCATTAATCTCTATGCCCAGCGCCGGGATCGTTCAATGGTCTCTCAGGTAAGACTGAGAACTACCGAGCGGCGGCCAGGAGCAGCAGCGGCAGGCGCGCGGCCGTGAGGGGCGCCAGTGGCGGGATTTTTTTCGGCACCTGTATCAGTGCTTTTTTTCATATCTTCCAACAGCCGAAAGGGGTGTTTTCGGCCAACATGTTTTCGCCACTAAAATTTTGGTGCATCCCTAATGGATACGCCCGCTGCCATGTACTGTCAATCATCAGCCAGGCAGGCCTGATGGGGAGCTAGTCTGTAAGTTCCCCAGCAGGTTCCCCCCACCCTACTACAAAACCCCTTGGCCATATGCCTACAGATGAACAGAGAACAATGAAGAAGCCAAAAACATCCACTCAATTATGACTATTAGCAGAATTCTGCAATCCCAGCAGCAGAAGAGGTATAACTGAAACACACCTTTGTGATTGGACGCGTTATGGTACCACGCACCTTACTGCATGGCACATTATGTGCGTTAGCACATTTTGGTGTCATTCATGCAATGGCACCCCGATGTACTAAGGCAACACAGTTCTGATGCACATGCTTGGCAGTGACCTCAGCACAAAGTAATGCATGGTGTTCAGCAAAAATGCCGAATGTCCATTTTTTTAATCCGTTCCTGTGTGTTGGCCTATTCAAAATGAGTGGGATGCCTTAACACCGCACAGGTTAACGTGTGATGCACAATGCAAGTTAAGGCAAAGCCCGAGAATGAAAAAAACTAGATGAAAAGTTTTATTAGCACAGATATCATCAGTATGAGGCTCATATATATTCCCACTTACCGAACGGAGCCCAGTTACACCATGTGGTGTCATTTTCAGAGAGGTTTGCTGGAGGGTTGGGGAAATTCAGAGCAATTTCGATGCAGCTGACCCTGTATGCACAAAACAAGACATGTTATTAATATACAACGGCTGTGTAAAGAGCCAGGATAATGTGCAATGTGCCCTGACCTATAGGAAACAATCAAAAGTCAGTTCTCTGAAATTGGCTCAATTAATAAATGAATTTTTGGTTGGTTGATGTGGGTTAGCGCATATGATTGTGCTCTGTGCTGCCACACTTTACATGCACAATGTTGCAAGCGTCGTTGTCTTACTACAAACACACAAGTGGCTTGTAGTAAGTGATGAAAATGTTTAAAGCTGAAATTTAATCTCTAAGATTGTAAGCTCCAAGGATCAGGCCCTCCTAACCCTTTTGTATTGAACTGTATTGTCTCCCGTTATATTGTAAAGCGCTGAGCAAACTATTGGCGCTATATAAATCCTGTATAATAATAATAATTTCATCTGCTAATTTTTTTTGCCTTCCCTGATTCCTCCTCTTTTTCCACCTCATTAACATATTAAAAAAAACTTTATATAAAACGTTTCCGTTTTCATTACTTCCCCTATTTGAGACCCAGTGATATCATCACATTTTCTCTTTGTTTCTCTAGGCAATGCCGGCAGATCATGGCTGGCGGGAGGGGCATAGCTTCCTGAAAACATCACAGCACCCTGCCTCAGTCCTCCTCTTAAAAGCCCTCACTCCTGATGTAAGCAGTGGGCTGGCTCTTGGTAGGAGTTATACAGATGCTTTAACCACTTCAATACCGGGCACTTTTCACCCCTTCCTGCCCAGGCCAATTTTCAGCTTTCAGTGATGTCACACTTTGAATGACAATTGTGTGGTCATGCAACACTGTACCCATAAAAAAAAAAGCTGACAAACATGTGATATGCATGACGGTTCAGTGCGAAGGGAACACTCTGAACTCACTGGGAAACTTTTTTCCTCCTACTTCTCTTTTCAATATACTGTATATATGAATGTGATCAGATTCATCTTTGAAAGATGTTGTTTCTGTGTACAGTTTGTAATTAAAGTCTTTCTTAAGTAGAAGCTTTTTTAGCCCCTTGATGCCGAGCGCACGCAAATATGTGGCCTCTCGGCATCTGGACCTTGACGCAGAGCGGCCACATATTTGCGTGCCATTAGAAAATACATATGTGCTGAGAGCGCGCACCCTGAACGTTCCCAGCACATATGTCCGTGACTCACGGAAAAGTCCCGATTCCTCTTGCGATTGGGACCTTTTCCAATCATGTGACCGTGAATCATGGCGGTCACATGACCCTAAAACCCCACCTGCCTCCCAGCTTCTAAAACTCTTAAAGGGCCAGGGCGCAGGCGCAAAGCGGTTAAATGTTGTGAGAAGCACAGAAAGTTAAAGTAAAATAACCCTAACTATTCTTAAAAATGTCCCTTCCCCCCGCCTGACACCTATGCAAAAAAGATTTGTATATGTATCTAATTTCAGGCCGTTCTGGTCTGGTCATGTGATCGGATCTCATGTGTTAGCCAGCGCTGGCTGCAGGGGAGAGGAGGGAGCGCCCACAATGGGTGGGGCATAGGAAGCCTATGGGTGACATCACCACTTCTAGGCACAGCCAGCTATTGTAGAGGGCTCTCTCCTCTGCCCTGTAGTTGGTGCTGACTGACACAGGGGATCACATGACCGGACCGGCTGAAAAGAAGTATACAGACCTTTCCTACACTGCTTAGTCTCAATAGGTGTGAGGAGCCAGGAGGGAGCATTTTTACAATTAGTTAGGTGTAGCCTGGAATTCCACTCTAATTGTACAAGCAGATTGTAAGGTGTGTGGGCAGCAGGAAAACAGCTTCTTCCCTAGAAGACTAAATAGGCTGATCTCAGCAGTCATAAGCAGGGATGCTAACCACATTCCCCGGATACTTAGCAGAGGACTAGGGGAAACATTTACAATCTGCATTTGAAATAATGAGAATGTGGAACTGCCAGTTTGTCAGCCATTACACAAAGAAACTCATATATGTACGGAACAAAATAGAAGCTGGAATTGCTATGATGTGGAGTGCGGCTCGCAGCAACTTCAGGAAAGAAGCTGTAAGGCTAGGTTCACATCTGTGCGGGTGGTGCCGCTGTGGATCCGCACAAAAATCCATGCAGCCGCACCGACCACACAGAAGAATGCGGGCCGGCCGGCGGGTGCCATTAATTCTATCAACACACCACTTGCATTGGAGACTGAGGTTCCCGTGTGGGCTGCGGTTTCCAAAGAAGTGCAGGGACTTCTTCCCTGCATGTGCCGGGGCACTGGAGTCCATTCAAATGAATGGACTCTCATGCCTGCGCAAAACGCGGCCCGCACGGCTGCATATATGTGAACCGGGGGTTAGCCCTCATGCACACGGGACGTTTTTACAGAGGCTGTTTTTGGCTTTTGACATTTTTTCTACAGCTAGTAAACCCCCCCAGCATGTTATCCTATGTCTCCATGCACACATAGACTGTAATCAATGTTTTTTGGACTGGGATGTTTTTTTGGCTGGAAAAAAAACCCAGAACTAGTGGGTCTCTAGAGGAGTTTTTTAGCTGTAAAAATGCTCTAACACTGATAAAACGGTAAAACACCGCAAACCAGCGTTTTTGGACTTTTTTGACCAAAAAAAGCTAAAAACACGGGAAAATGCCGAAATGTGTTTTTTCTTTGCATTTCTGGTGAAAAGGTGGAATGTCTCTTTAGGACTCCTATCAGAACCTATAGTTAAAAAGATAACACATTTGGACAACTATTTGAAGCTGACGTTTAATCTGCTTATATTTTGCCTTCCCTCTTATCAACATCCTAATGACATTTTTAAATAAAACCTGTTTCCATTATATAGATTATTTTAGACCCAGACATGTTATCACTGGGTCTTTGTGCTTCTCTATGCAATGCAGGCAGATCGTGGCTGGTGGCAGAGGCCTGCATAGTTTACAGTGAACATTACAGCACCCTGCCCCCACATTCCACTCAAGAGCCTTCAAGTCCTGATGCAAGGAGTTGGGAGGAGTTCGGCACATATTAAAATGCCTTAGTGGGCAGTATTAGTCTGAAGAAGTTGGAGCTTCTAGGCAGAGCACCCTAGGCAATGCCTACATGTGATGTTGACAATCCACAATTAAAAACTGAAATCCAATTAATGAAAAGGGTGGGTCATAGATTGTCAGGCTGGGAGGAAAGAGCTAGATGATGTTGGACGTCCTCCAGCCAGGAAATGAGGCAGGTTCTATCTGACTTGCTGCACCTTCTAAAGCACATTATGAGAAGCTCACAGTGTGCAGTGAAATCAGAGTAAGACATTTCAGTCCAGGAGAGGAGCCGGTACAACTGTGCAAGACTGGAGGGAAGGCTGGAGGTCAGATTTAACATACAGGTACTCTTCACTACTCACCTTTACCACACTGAGGGGCTTCCTTGACAAGTGATAGCCGGTGTAAAACAAAAAAGTCAAAACGATAATGTACCCCCGATACCTACAGTAAAGACAAGAGAGATAGAAACATTTAGAGTTCCCCTTTAAATTGTGCCGGTCATGTTTTATGATTACATATTTTCAAGGCTGTAAATACAACCGAAATCAGGGGCCCCCAGAGCACCTCCATAGGATGAATCCATGTACTCCTTACATGGACTGATACAGCTAGTTGTTACCTTCTTGTCCAATCACAGGCAGGTTCTAGGCCAGACAGTATTGCCCAACTAGGGAACGTAGGTATAGGGGGGTCGCCTTTAAAGTGACACTAAATATTATCCTTATTCTTCAATATTAATGCATATGCACAGCCACTACTTACATAGTTACATAGTTAGTCTGCCTGAAAAAAGGCAAAAGTCCATCCAGTTCAACCACATAAAAAAAAAAAAAAAAAGTTATAATCCTACACCCACAGTTGATCCAGAGGAAGGAAAAAAAACCCAGCAAAGCATGATCCAATTTGCTCCTGGGAAAAAAATTCCTTCCTGATCCCCCGAGAGGCAATCGGATATTCCCTGGATCAAGGTTGCCTATAAATGTTAGTATCCAGTTTATATTCTGTGTATCTAGGAAAGAATCCAGGACTTTTTTAAAGCAATCCACTGAGCTGGCCAGAACCAACTCTTGAGGGAGTCTATTACACATTTTCACAGCTCTTACTGTGAAGAAACCTTTCCAAGTTTGGAGATTAAATCGTTTCCTCCAGACGTAAAGAGTGCCCCCTTGTCCTCTGTGATGACCTCAGGGTGACTAGCTGTACACCGAGTTCACTATATGAACCAGTGATGTATTTATACATGGAGATCATATCCCCCTTATGTATTATACATGGAGATTATATCCCCCTTATGTATTATACATGGAGATCATATCCCCCTTATGTATTATACATGGTGATCATATCCCCCCTTATGTATTATACATGGAGATCCTATCCCCCCTTATGTATTATACATGGAGATCATGTCCCCCCTTATCATATCCCCCCTTATGTATTATACATGGAGATCCTATCCCCCCTTATGTATTATACATGGTGATCATATCCCCCCTTATGTATTATACATGGAGATCATATCCCCCCTTATGTATTATACATGGAGATCATATCCCCCCTTGTGTATTATACATGGAGATCATATCCCCCTTGTGTATTATACAGGGAGATCATATCCCCCTTATGTATTATACATGGAGATCATATCCCCCCTTGTGTATGGAGATCATATCCCCCCTTGTGTATGTATTGGAGATCATATCCCCCCTTGTGTATTATACATGGAGATCATATCCCCCCTTGTGTATTATACATGGAGATCATATCCCCCCTTATGTATTATACATGGAGATCATATCCCCCTTGTGTATTATACATGGAGATCATATCCCCCCTTGTGTATTATACATGGAGATCATATCCCCCCTTATGTATTATACATGGAGATCATATCCCCCCTTATGTATTATACATGGAGATCATATCCCCCCTTATGTATTATACATGGAGATCATATATACATGGAGATCATATACCCCTTATGTATGGTGATCATATCCCCCTTATGTATTATACATGGTGATCATATCCCCCCTTATGTATTATACATGGTGATCATATCCCCTTATGTATTATACATGGAGATCATATCCCCCCTTATGTATTATACATGGAGATCATCCCCCCTTATCCCCCCCCCTTATGTATTATACATGGAGATCATATCCCCCCTTATGTATTATACATGGAGATCATATCCCCCCTTATGTATTATACATGGAGATCCCCCCCTTATGTATTATACATGGAGATCATATCCCCCCTTATGTATTATACATGGAGATCATATCCCCCCTTATGTATTATACATGGAGATCATATCCCCCCTTATGTATTATACATGGAGATCATATCCCCCCCCTTATGTATTATACATGGAGATCATATCCCCCCTTATGTATTATACATGGTGATCATATCCCCCCTTATGTATGGTATCACCCCCCTTATGTATTATACATGATCATATCCCCCCTTATGTATTATACATGGTGATCATATCCCCCCTTATGTATTATACATGGTGATCATATCCCCCCTTATGTATTATACATGGTGATCATATCCCCCCTTATGTATTATACATGGTGATCATATCCCCCCTTATGTATTATACATGGTGGAGATCATATCCCCCTTATGTATTATACATGGAGATCATATCCCCCCTTTTGTATTATACATGGAGATCATATCCCCCCTTGTGTATTACATGGAGATCATATCCCCCCTTGTGTATTATACATGGAGATCATATCCCCCCTTGTGTATTATACATGGAGATCATATCCCCCTTGTGTATTATACATGGAGATCATATCCCCCCTTATGTATTATACATGGAGATCATATCCCCCCTTATGTATTATACATGGAGATCATATCCCCCTTATGTATTATACATGGAGATCATATCCCCCCTTATGTATTATACATGGTGATCATATCCCCCCTTATGTATTATACATGGTGATCATATCCCCCCTTATGTATTATACATGGAGATCATATCCCCCCTTATGTATTATACATGGAGATCATATCCCCCCTTATGTATTATACATGGAGATCATATCCCCCCTTATGTATTATACATGGAGATCATATCCCCCCTTATGTATTATACATGGAGATCATATCCCCCCTTATGTATTATACATGGAGATCATATCCCCCCTTATGTATTATACATGGAGATCATATCCCCCCCTGTATTATACATATCATATCCCCCCTTATGTATTATACATGGAGATCATATCCCCCCTTATGTATTATACATGGAGATCATATCCCCCTTATGTATTATACATGGTGATCATATCCCCCTTATGTATTATACATGGTGAGATCATATCCCCCCTTATGTATTATACATGGTGATCAGATCCCCCCTTATGTATTATACATGGAGATCATATCCCCCCTTATGTATTATACATGGTGATCATATCCCCCCTTATGTATTATACATGGAGATCATATCCCCCCTTATGTATTATACATGAAGATCATATCCCCCCTTATGTAATATACATGGAGATCATATCCCCCCTTATGTATTATACATGGTGATCATATCCCCCCTTATGTATTATACATGGTGATCATATCCCCCCTTATGTATTATACATGGAGATCATATCCCCCCTTATGTAATATACATGGAGATCATATCCCCCCTTATGTATTATACATGGTGATCATATCCCCCCTTATGTATTATACATGGTGATCATATCCCCCCCTTATGTATTATACATGGAGATCATATCCCCCCTTATGTATTATACATGGAGATCATATACCCCTTATGTGTTATACATGGTGATCATATCCCCCCTTATGTATTATACATGGTGATCATATCCCCCTCATGTGTTATACATGGAGATCATATCCCCCCTTATGTATTATACATGGAGACATATCCTCCTTATGTATTATACATGGATCATATCCCCCTTATGTATTATACATGGTGATCATATCCCCCCTTATGTATTATACATGGAGATCATATCCCCTTATGTATTATACATGGTGATCATATCCCCCTTATGTATTATACATGGAGATCATATCCCCCCTTAATATCCTCTTCTCAAGAGAGAATACATTCAGTTCCTCTAATCTTTCCTCATAGCTGAGCTCCTCCATGCCTCTTATCAGTTTGGTTGCCCTTCTCTGTACTTTCACCAGTTCCCCAATGTTCTTTTGTGAATTGGAGCCCAAAACTGAACTGCATATTCCAGATGAGGTCTTACTAATGATTTGTACCGGGGGAAATGATTTATCTCTCTGGAGTCTATACCTCTTTTAATACAAGGGAGGGCTCGCTTTAGAACCCACAGCTTGGCATTGCATGCCATTATTAAGCTTGTGATCTACCAGAACTCCCAGATCCTTTCTCCACCATTGATTCCCCCAGTTGTACCCCCCCTAGTATGTATGATGCATGCATATTCTTAGCCCCCAAGTGCAGAACCTTACATTTATCAACATTAAATGATATATCATTTGTCACATAGTTGCCCAATTATACAGTGCATTGAGGTCGGCTTGTAAATTGGAGACGTCCTGTAAGGACATTATTCCACAGCACAGCTTGGTGTCATCTGCAAAGACCTTTTAATCCCAGGCAATACTTAAGGCAGAACTAAACTGTATTGAGCGCCAACCAAACTGAAAACACAATTTAATTAATTTGTATTATATTTAAAGCAAACTCAGCCATCCATTCATGTCTCCATGCTTTATTTTGCTGAGAAATCACTTGTGACATCCCTCCTAGCATTTCTAGTCATGGCCATTTTGAGTAAGGGCAGATGATTTATATAGCATTTACAGTACTTCCTGGAATTCATCTGCCCTCAGCTCAGGCATGCAGGCAGGAGGGTGTGAGAAAGCTCCTCCTCCAGATGAAAGCGGAAAATATGTCACCAGCACATCAGGGATTCACCAAACAGTTCCAAAGCTTTATTCAGTGGTCACATCATATATACAAAGGCCAAGTTTTAGAGCCGTGCAGGGCGCCTTCATCAGACAGTGACAGATGTACCTGATGAAGGGGCCCTGCGTGGCTCAAAAATTTGCCTTTGTAAATATGCTGTGACCACTGGATAAAGCTTTGGCCCGTTTGGAGAATCCTTGATGTGCTGCTGACATATTTTCTACTTCGAATGTCTACAGTTACCAGCCAGTGGTCACTGCAGCATGCACTGACACCTTACAGCTTTCCAGGAACGTGTGCGTTGGGAATATTACGATTATTACACTAAACTAAGTACTCCTGGGATCATTGTGGCCTAGGCCAGAAACCAGGAAGTAACTGAAGAATAAAAAAGGTCAACACAATATACCTTCCGATTTATTTACTAATGCTAGCAGCTTAAGGGTTAAAAGCAGGCCTGGATCTAGGGGGTTGCTAAGAGTGCTGGGGGAGTT